TCTTGATGAATCAACTCTTATCTTTTTTACCCTTTGTTTATCCCTGGTAATTTTCATTACTCTGAAGTGTACCCTGATATTAGTATAGTCATTTGATATTAATATAGTCATATTGTTTGCATGGGTATATCTTTCCTGTCATTCTAACTTATCTACATCACTATATTTAAGTGGGTTTCTCGTATATAGCATAGTTGGGATATATAAAAAAATATTCTGACAAGCTCTGTCTCTCAATTGATGTATGTAGAACATTTACATTTAGTGCGATTATTGATAAGTTTAGAATTGGATCTATCAGTTTGTTATTTGTTTTCTGCTTATTTTTCTGTTTTTAATTCCTCTGTTTCCCTTTTCCTCTCTTCTTTTGGGTTACTGGAACACTGTTTTAGCATTCCATTTGAATTTTCATACTGTAATTTTGCCAAAATAGTTGTGTGGAGTGGTGGTGGTGCTGGTGTGTGTGTGTGTGTGTGTGTGTGTGTGTCTGTTTCAGTTATTGCTCTAGGGATTACAATATATGTATTTAACTTTACAGAGCCTGCTTGGAATCATGTCACGGGGAATGTAGAAATCTTACTGCCATGTTACCAAAACCAATTAACACTGATCTGAAGATACTACCAATGAGGGGGTAAAAATGAGAGGTAAAAAAGGGAAAGGAGAGAATAAATATGATCATTATGTGTAAATGACACAACTGTTTACCTAGAAGATACAAGGGAACCAATTAGAATATTATTACAATTATTATAATTCAGTTAGATTTGGGAGCAAACTTAAAATACAGAAAAAACAGGCTTCATGTGTAAAACAATAGCCATTTGCAAAACACAATGAAAGAAAACACTAAAATATCAAAGGGGTATCATGAAATGTACATGATCTATATAAAGAAGTCCTTTAAAAGTGATTGACAAACACATGTTCACATTAAAGAAATAGAAAGGTTTTTCATACTGGTTTCTTGGATCACTATAAGAGCAACTACAGGTTCACATAGTTAATGAAATGTTTGGCTAAGGAGCCAAAAAGATGAGCAACCATCTGTGGGGTTAATATCCAACATGTTAAGAAAGTCAATTCTCCCTAACTTGATATGAAATTTAATTCATCCCACTAGAAACAGTAAACACAATTTTTCTTGTAAAAATCAGAGAAGCTGATTCTAAAGTTCATATGAAAAATGTGGTAGGTATAATCATAAAAATTGTAACAAAGAAGAGCACTAACAGGTAAATCTCCCTACCAGACAATATGGCATATTTTAAAGCTACAATAATTAAAACAGTGTGGTTCTAGATCATGGATCAAACAGTTCACTGGAATAGTCTTAAGTCCAGAAACAGACCAGCAACAAATCAGTAAAGAGAAGGTAGATTACAGAATATATAATGTTGTAACAGAGGGCAACCATCTGAAAAAAATTAAGTTGGATCCCTAGGTCATATTTTATAGCAAAATAAATTCTAGGTTAATCAAAACTTTAAATATATAAAAATGTAAATCTACTAGAAAATATGGGCAATTTAAACATAATTTCAAAGAGGTAAAGCTTTTCTATCGGTGATATAAGTAGAACACAGAAGCCATAAAAACATTGAGAATTCCACCTACATTAAATAAAATAAAAACCACACAAGCTCACCTGAGCTTCGGTGCCTGGAGTTTTTGTTGGGCTCTAATACATAGGCATAGCCAACTGAATCCTTGGCCATAAAGCTGAATGTAATCTCCAGTCCTTCTTCCCACCCCAGATGTCAGGCTGGTATCAGTGTGCCCCAAAGCCCCAACTCTCTAATCATACGGTTTGGTATTGGTATTTCGGGTGTGGCTAGCCTTCATCCCAGTCATCTCATTAGTATAAACTCTCAGGTTCCACCATGAATAACAAAGACACTTCCTTCACTCTGGAACTTCCAAGGATTTAAATCTTGGGAAGGGGGGGCGGGGACTGTAGAGCTGGGAAGAGGGGAAGAGGGCCAGGAAAATTTTTTATTCATTTTATTTTATTCCAAGTGTTTAGAAGCTACTTGTAACAGAGTGGAAACCAACAGTGTCCAGTGGCAGAGGGCTGATTTTAAAAAATTAAAATATACCCATATAATGGAATTCTATGCAACGAATTAAAAAACAGGGCAATTCTGTAGGTAGGGATACAGATTCAACTGCTGAATATGCAAAACATTGTGTACCATATAGTACACAATGTATAGTACAATTTGTGTTTCATGTATATGTGCATGTTTATATACACATAAGGCCACCAGAAAAATAAACAAGACACTGATAGCAGAGGTTGGATCAATGGAAGGGAAATGGCTGAAAGACTTAATTTTTTACCCTTTCAAACTTCTGATTTTTTGCACAATATGCATATATGACCTACTTAACAAGAATAAAACATCACAATGTATTTGCATATTTCTCTGAGGATACTGAACATAACGTGTCATTTAATCTTTGATTACTAAGAGCCATTGTCAGAAGTTACACTGAACAAGGCTCTAAAGGTCTACTGAGGCACAAGGGTTGTTTTCACCCACAATGCATGACCCCAGGCTCCTGTGATTTGAGTTAGTGACATTTTCAGTTTTTCTGATTTCTCCCAGCTACTTCTCACTGCCGTCAAACTTCCTCTAGTTGACTCAAACTTCTTTGAAATTGGTGCTTTTAGTTGTAGTGGTCTGAGAAACAAGGCACGTGGTTCCAATACTGTATAACATAGAGGGAAACTGCCTCTTTGACAACTTGAGGAAGCCTCTCATAATTGATGAGTTTTAGAGATTAAACTTCGTAACAACCACCTGACTACGCAAGATTTTTACACATTATTGGTTCCACGTAATTGAATGAGGAACAGGCAAGGAAGACGTTAACTCACTGTGGGAGGTTCTAGGATTTAATTACTGCTATATTGCTAAGTACATGTCTGAACCTCTTTTTCAAAATTGCTTTCATTAATTCAAGAAGCATTTCTGAGCATCTAGTGCGCATGAGGGAACGCTCTAGAGGCTAGGGATACTGCACAATGGCCAAACTCCTTAGAATTTACATTCTCATTGGGGTGAGAGGCAACAGACAAAGATAAAGGGGGAAGTTTAACAAGAGAAGGGGAAATGTGATGGGGCTATTAGGACAGGGCAGCAGCACGTCAGGAGCACCTCTCAGCCTCTGAACCACTAAGGTATCACATGCGACACACACATGCACGCACGCACGCACACCATTTTTTATATATAAAATAAAGGATTTGTAATAGGGATTATAGGAGCTGTACTTTCGTGACAGGCAGGCCACAGAAAGGGGCGGGCAGACGGAAGTGAAGTGGGGGAAGCGAGAATATACTGGGACCTGCCGGCAGAGTAGAACCCAAACGAACTCAGCGGAAACCCATGTCAGCCTCTCACTGCCTCCAAGCCTCCAACCTCAATGACCGGGTTGTGCTGCAGAGCCTGGCACCCTCTGTCACAGAGTGGAACACATACCTGGCTGAAAAGGCAGAGGACGTCAGGGAGGCTGGAGCTCCTGTGTGCCTGGTTGTTGGCCCACAGACCAAAAAGATGAGCCAGCAGATCCGCGATAACGTGGGTAAGCTGCAGCAATGCGTGCCCTGCTGGGACCTTTCAATTATAACAAGAATCTCGATCTGGCCACTTAACATCGGCCTTCTAAATCTCGCGTCACACATCTCTTGTGACCCCCACTATCCGAAAATTATGCAGGGAGAATTAAGAGGTACAGATCTCCAGCTTAGCTACACTGGCACCACATAAAACCACTACAGACGGTCAGAGATCTCTGAAAGATATTTGAGCTGAGAACCTGGAGGGCGAGGAGGATTCAGCCACACAGCCAGTGCCAAGGTTTGGGAGAGAGTATTCCAGGCAGAAATAGTTACTGCAAAGGCCCTGAGGCAGTGATATAAATACGGTATTTTTTCATGACGAGGCTGGAGTATGGTGAGAAGGAGAGTGGTGTGAAATGAGGTCAGAGAGGCAGGGATCAGCTCACCTGGGTCCTTGCAGAACACGGGAATGAGCATGGATCACTGTTTTCTAAGGGCAAAGGGAAGCAAATGGAGAGTTTTTGACAAGCCAGTAGTAGTTTGATCTGATTTCTAGTTTTAAACTCTATTTTAAAGTAATTTCGAACTTAAAAAGAGGCCTAAGATTCCCACAAAGAAGTCCATCATCCAACTGATTTCCTTTACTTTGCAGAACACGGGCTTTGGCGGGCAGGGCCACCTCTCTCTGGGACTCCTCCGGGTCCCCCGGTTTTCCATGCGAGCTGCACTTCCAGAGGACACTGTGCACGATGCCCTGGGACGTGATGCCGGAGGGTGGAAGCAGCAATATTCCTTTGAGAACTACTCAAGAGTTCAGGCCAGCGTGCTTCCACACTGCTTTTCGGATTTCACAGGAAAACCAATCTTGTCATTTTAGTCTCAACTCATGAATTCATGTTACAAAAAATGGGATTATCTTTTCAGATCTGGTCTCCAACTGACTGGTGACATTACTTCTGGTCTCAAATTGAGTGGTTACATTACTTCTCAAAACAAAAAACCTTGAGGATTTGATACCACTGAAGCTATTTTTCCGGAGAACAGGCACCGTCTCCTAAGGGAAACGTGCTGAAGGGGCCACTGTTCATGCTGATGTATGTGTTCTAGTTTCCCCACATTACATGTGGCCTTGGGCTTACAGATCTTCTAGTTTCTGTAGAACCTAGCTTACAAGTTGAGACCACAGACAACCTTCCTAAAACAAGCTCTTTTGCCTCTCGCTGAAAGCCAAGATTCAAAATACTGAAGTGGGCTCAGAGCACACTTAGACATGAAACCTCATTTCTGACCTCTGTACAATCCCAGGTTTAATGTTAAAACCAACACCTAGAAGTAACTACGGATAGCCATGTGTTATCACTAAAAACAAACACACCTAATAGGTGCTCATTAAATCACGAGGGTAAAGTAGAAAAACGAAAGAGAAGTCAGGTGCCTTTAGAGAACGCATTTATTCTCTCTCAGATGCGGCTGAAGGAGAGCTCTGCCAGCGCGGTGGGGCTCAGCGACCACAGCGAGGGTCCTGACGCACGGCAGACGTTCAGTTAAGTCGGAGCTAATGTTGTTACATGTGTCAACACAAGTATCTTCTATACCCTCTTAAAGGAAGAAATAAATTGCTCCTGGAAAAAAACAAAAAGAGGAGCTCTGGACAGACTACTCATCTTCTTTAAGGAGAAAGTGTAAACACAGACTTTAAGAAAGCGTGATCCGACAGAGAGAACAGCAGACAGCTTTGATCCTTAAGGAGAGTCTGCAGTACATGCCTCCATGCTCGGCGCTGACAGATGATCTCCTTGTAAACAGTCAGCAAGAGAAGAGCGAGGCTGTGCCACGATTTACGGACTGTATATTCTGAGCTCCAATCCCTAAATTTACTGACAATGTCTTATACGTTATATGTTAATTATTAACAACTGTTTTCCTTCATTTAACAATGGCTCTTGAAAAACAAAATAAATGATCACAAATCCAACCATAAATTAAAAGATAATTAAGGTAAAAAAAGACCTGTTAAAGTTTCACATATGCAAGCACAATAGCACATTTCATATATTCAGATTACAGTTTCTACGATCTTTCATATATTCGGATTACAGTGTCTATGATCTTTGCGTGAATAACAGAAAAGTTACTCCCTTTCTACTGCTGCAAGTTCACAACATTTATGAAAAGGCTTCACCTTTTTTTTCCAGCTCAATTAACTGCACCTCAGTTGAACATGACAGACAGCAACTGGGATTATGAGTGAGATGGGCTCAAAGAAAGGTCATGACCCCACAGCAGATCATGGAAACTGAAAATATACTTCAGATTTTCTAGTGGTAACCTGTAGCCCTCATTTATTAAATAATTTACAGAGAACTGTTAGGAGAATGATTTAATGAGCAGGCTGACCTCTGTCATTCTGCCAGTTTGCTGCTCATGAACACATGCATTGTGCCTTTAAATTGAAACAGATCCCGTTCATTTCCAATGAGACGAGGTGTAAGGTAAAAACAAAGACGAAGCCATAGATATATTAAAGTTACGCTACGTTAACTACTTAATTAAAAACTTTAATTACCAGATCAGTGCACCATTTCTTGCTTAAAAATGTAATACCTTTGAAAGTAGATAAAGAATATTTTTTTAAAAGTAAGCCATATGTGAAAGTGAAAAGGTCTGAGCGACATGACACACAGAAACAGAATCATTTCCAATCAGTGACTACTAATGGGAAGACTCATTTTATACAGCAGGTATTGACAACCATTTAGCAATTCTTTAAACAGGCACTTGATAGAGTGTTTTGCAGCTAGCATACTCAATACTGGGCATCACATACACAAAAAAATATGGCTTTATTACAAAGGATTCAAGATGGCAACTACTTAGAATCCAGTGCCAACACGGATTATAACAAATCCAGTGAGTATTTTGTTTTTCAATTATTCATAGAAAATTTAATCCTGATTAAGTATCCTTGGGCAGGAATTCATGGGTAGTTGATGACTGAAACCAACATTTATGTGAAATGCTTCTGTTAATTTAATCTGTGTATACGGCTTAATTACGATTGGGGATTCAATGTAAGAGAAATGAATTATTATCAGGATTAAAATTTTAGTACCATATCACACAGTACTTCTTCCTTCTTTCTTTTTAAACATATAACCCTGCTTGTCTCTTCACCTAAGTGCTTACATTTGAAAACTCTTTGTAAGGAACAACTCGTGTAATGTATCTAAGCTTTAGTTTTCATAAGTTATCTGCCAGAAACCCTTTGCTAATCAAGCTAGAACCTGAACTAGAGCCAGAAGTGATAGAGGAAAATGGAGAAGAACCCCACAACAAATAAACAAAAGCTTATTCATTTAGCCATAAATATACTTTATATTCACATTCCAAGTAATTTCATTTTCAATTCCTTTAAACTCCAATACGAAATGCATTTTCCTCAAAGCATAAAAAGAAACAGTTTTAAATCAGTGTATTACACCGACTTTGTAATTGGAGTTAGATATGTATAAGCAAGTAATCATTTAACTGATTACTTTTTACAAGACTATCAAACCTGAGTTAACTTTTGATGTAAGACGAGGCATTGTAAGTGGTGAATCTCTTACTAAAATATCATATCATTCTTTTTCATCTTAATTTCCACAGAGAAATTGCATAAATCACCTTATAACAACACTCTTTCTTCAAAGTTTATTAAGCATATTTCAAAACGCTTATTACCTTTTTTCAGTTTGATACTGCTTAAATGCAGCTGTATAAATAACGTGCTGGGCATTCTTTGTTCAATTTTCCATACCGCAAGTATGAAAGAAAAGTCACTGCATTTGGATCCTTATTGCACTCTTAAATCAATTCACGTTTCCTTGAAAGAAAATCAAGTATCAGAAGTGAGGCCGACTTTTGTGCCCAGATGATATGGTCAGTGGTAGTGTTACTGAAGAAAGTGACGAGACTTCCCAGTACAGACTGTGGGACAGAAAGAGTCTGTAGAGAATAACCATGGAAACAGACTGGCAAAGGATAACACCTACTGTAATAACCTGAAAAGAAAAGGAAGGGAATGCATTTACTGCCTGCAACAACAGACACATTATATTCAAGTTATTATAAACCCATAGACTTCGTATTTACACACACACACACACAACTCCTCCATCTTTAACGTGGGTACATTTTATCAAAGAAATTTTCAATAGGAAAATCTGACCAATGTTCAGAACTGTAATTGTCCAAAGGTAAAACTTATTTAATAGTTTCTAAACACACCCAATTTGCTAACCCATTCTCTCCTCAGGGTGCACACACCACAGGAAGAGATCTGAAAAATCAGGTTCCTGGATAATCTAGTAATGAGAATAAAGCATGATTCAGGTAGGGACCTGAATCTTGAAGAGCACTCTAAAAGCCCTTTCAGAAATTCTCATGTTGCTTCTTTATTTTTGTAAACTACCTTCCTATCTATTTACCCTTTGTAAACACCTCAGGTTCAAGAAACATCTATGCCTTCAAGCACAAGCTGCATCGCTTGCCAAAGGTACCCGACAGAATACTTTGAAATGGTGGAGTCGTTTACCTAAGAAGGTAGCTTTCCACACAATGAAAATGTGGCATGCTCCTTCCGGTCTGCAGTCTGTTAAAGCAACTACACTGATTTTATAGATCTATTTCGATTTTTCTATGTTGTAAAACATTTTAATCAATTTTTCTTAACAAAGATGGATTATGAATTGCCTAATTTATAAAATAGTATCATGAAATAGATTAAAATAGTAACAAAAGCTATATTCATCACTTTTTAATTAATTAACATTTTCCTTTTATACTTAAAGTTCTAATTTATATACTCACTGGGTCAGTATTTTGTTTCAAAGCTTTATTTTAAAAAGCTCAAAGGGGCGCCTGGGTGGTTCAGTCGGTTAAGGTCCGACTTCAGTTCTGGTCATGATCTCATAGTTCATGGGTGTGAGCCCCGCATCGGGCTCTGTGCTGACAGATCGGAACCTGGAGCCTGCTTCAGATTCTGTGTCTCCCTCTATCTCTGCCCCTCCCCTGTGTGCACACACTCTCTCTCAAAAATAAAATAAACATTAAAATAAGTTAAATAAACAAATTAATAAAAAGGTCAAAAAAAACTTCTAAATGGAAAAATATGCCTATTATCTTTTACTAATTTCCCATAAAGACTATAAAACACCATTGTGATCATGTGTCTTACTTACCTTATCTCTTTGGTAGTCACTAAAAATGACAGAAATACATGCAAGACCTGGATGGCATAAAAACCACAAGATACAGCCCTGAAACAAATGAAAAGAAAGTCAGATGATTGCAGCTGGAGCTTTACTTTCCGAATAACATTACTAGCATATGTGGGAGGTCCTGGTTGACCTCAATTAACCTTTAGAGTGGAACTTGCAATAAAATTAAAAATAAATTTACTATTGCTAGGATAACATTTTGTTTCTAACCACATGGGTATTTAAAATTTTGTGTTTGTACATCTCTTATATGTACACATTTAAATATACATTATAGATTTAAACATGAAAACACATGAATATAAGTAGCATTGAACATTGAGAAAAGCAAAGTACAAATGTGTACTATTTGTAAGATGAAAGCAGTAAGAATGGACATTCGTATTTGCACGCAGACACAACAAGACTCTGTAAGAATGCCCAAAGCGCTAACGGTGCTCGCCCAGCTGCGAGCTAGCACACGGGACAGCAGAACTGGGCAAGGAAGGACGGGAAACTTTTTAACATTATACTTCTCAAGAATCTCTTTCCTATTTTTCCTAGAACCATGGCAATGTATTCTCTTTTCCAAAATTAAACGTGAAGCAACATAATAAGTTAACAACAGGAGCTGCTGAGATGCTTGGTACACTGCAGATAAGGGAAAAAAACAAGATGTAAAAAAACCGTGTTTAGTACACTACTGTTTGTGTAAATACGGAGGGAAACACAGAAATATATGTATGTTTAAAATTCTGTAGAAGGATAAGTCAAGAATTAATAGCACTGATTATATGAGGACAAAATAACAGGGTAGACGGAAGAGAGGTAAAAAAACCTTTTGCTTCTCTTTAAATACTTTCGATGTTTGAACCCGTTCAAATAGTGAAACTAAAGCATATAAAAATAATTTTTTAAGAAAAAAGTTTGTTACTATTTTAAATACAGAATCAAAGAGGAAATTGAGTTTTAAAACCCCTTACACATATATTAACTTTTCAAACAAAAAGCAAATCCATCCCTGTGACAAATCCAAAAGCAAAGGGACGTTTTCTTGCCTGTTTGGTGCTCAGAAAGCTGGCGTGGGTTCCTGGGGCTGCAGGAGCAGCTTTAAGATGCTGACCACGGAGCGTAAGGAATTTGGCCCCTACTTCCACAGCCGCCCTGGAGGAACGCAGAGCACTGTGGACTCGGGGTGGGGGTGGGCGGCTGACCAAACAGCTTATCCGAATACTGTTCTGAGGTGGATGGATGCCCTCAATCTGACAGAGAAAAAGAACTCTCTAGGAGGTGGGCTCCTGCAGTGTTACTGCGCCAACTTCTCTCCTCATCTTTTCCTTTGTTAAACGGGGAGAGAAAAAAAAATCAAATCTGCCTTTAGGTCCCTCTCGTGTAAGGGACACGAAGGAGGGCTACAGTAGACATGGCCTCCTTGGGAGGCGGAGAAATGGCTGAAACATACCGCGTCCCCAGCCTCCTGCTTCACCTGCTGATGCTGTGAGCGCCTTGTGCTGCGTAACTCTGCATGTTAACAGTTCATCATTAATAGCTGCTTTTTGAGAAATGCAGGCTGTATTCTAATTTCATTTTTTTAAAAACTCTGACACAGAAAAAAAGTGTAAAATTCCTATTGATAAAGGAATCATGACCCGGGCGAACTGACCTAAGATGACATGGAAACTACTACCGCACAGGTTCTGTAAAATGGGATGATACCTACATCTCACAGGTGGCAAAGATTAAGTGAGCTGGGCATATAAAAGGCACGCTTCGGCACAGAATCAAAGCATAACCAGTATTAGCACAGGGTTGCTTAACTTCCCCCCAAAAGTAGAACAGACTCAATAATCAGAAGAAGACATTTTCTACCCAAACCCATACTTTGGCAAACGTGATGTAAAACTCCCTTTTCAGCGTGCTTCTCTCCACTGTGATGATCTGGTATAGTCCACAGCCTAGCGACAGTGCTAGGCAAATTCTTAAAACGATAAGCAAGATCCCTGCTAAGTTGTGATGTGAATGGTAGCTGTGAGGACTGGTGTCTTCAAACTGTTCCCAAAGTAGCAAAATACTCTGCAAGATACAATATTACATTTAGTGAGGAAAACAAAAATCATGTCTACTTCTTAGTAGAGTATTTTCTTTTAAATACTCTCTTTTTTAAATACTCTTTTAAATACTTTTATTTTTTAAATACTCTTTTAAAATTTTCTTTTAAATCTCTTTAAAGAGTGATCAACATTCCTAAGAGGTTCTCAAACTTATCAGACACTAAAGGTTGTTAATTAATAAAGCACAGGCATCAGGCACAGACTTTACCTCCCTGAAACCCCACATCAGAGAAAAGGGATTTTTACTGAATGAGATCATCATATAGGAAATATAAAATGTGTATGCTGCCATGATTCAAGGAAGAGATCTTTAAGGATGGAACTAAGTTGAAAAGGTGAAGAGAGGAAATCTGAACTTTCTTCTAACTCTTTGTTCCCTCCACACCACACGAAGAATCAAACGGCCCTGTGTTCAAGCCCGTTGTATCAGCGTGACTCTGACACATCTCCAGGTCTCCCGTTATCCGGAAGTGAAGGAGTCAGAGCTGTTGATTTCAGACGTCACTCTTTTCCATGGTAGCCTCTCAGGGTAAAGGACAGTTCGTTTTTGACATTCACCAGAGCACCGGGCTATCCACGGGTAACCAGCACAGTTACTTCTTTCGTTTGTGGATCTTTTTCCGCCCACAGCGTTATGGTCACAGGAAAAGCACAGCAAGTTCCTCATCGGCTGCTCTGTTTATCGCTCTTTAGGAGAAATCACGTTCCCTCCATCCTTTCTAAACACCGACCACAAGTTACTATGGGGTTGTTGCCATCGCACATGTCAGCAGCCCCCTGTGCTGCCGTCTTCTGCCAGCTCAGCCCTGAGAGTGGGCTTCTGTGGCTTCCGAAGAACTTAGGTCAAAGCTCTAAATTAAATCCAGTTCTTAGGCTGTATGGGGTGTGTCAGCAACCCCTTCCTCTTCTCATTCTCAGATCTTCTAACCTGATCTCACTCCCACTACCCCGCTTGACAGCTGAGCTCCTCTGGCATCCTGCACACACACGCTCCCTTCTCAGGCTTTACTGAAGTGTATGTCTTCACTCCACCAAATCACTGTACCCATATGATTCCTCACCCTGTATTCCTAAACTTAACTTGTACAAAAAGAAGTCCTATTGTAGAACTACTATCTCCTGGTATCTATGTGAGGTGAGGAGTATGTTAACTAGCCTGATTTTGGTGATCATTTCAAAATGCATACATATACCAAAACATCAAGTTGCATGTCTTAAATATGTACAATTTCTATTTGTTAATTAAACCCCAAGAAAGCCAACAAAAAAGAACTATCATTTCCCATGTTTCACATTTTTACACAGTCAAACCCCACATTTTCAGATATGTATACCAGCGTGTGACCTGTGGACTATACGTGTGTAATTGAACTTATGTAGTGTCATTCACCTTGTCTGGGTGGTTGTTGAAGGCCAGGGCCATGTCTCGTGTGTTCTTCACAAATGCTGACATAGACTCTAGAGTAGTGTCATAATCTCAGTTCTCATTTCCTATTTGTCTTATATGATAATGGATTAAAATTACAAGGAAATAATGAAAATTCAATTTTTAAAAAAGCTACTTACTGAGAAATGAGAATTTAACCTGATATTAGCACCACTCTCCATAAGCCCTAGAACAAAAACATAAACTTGGTAGAATCTTGCCCTTATACTGATCATTTCCATCAGTTGTCATTAGCCTTTCCTTCTAATGCCCGAGAAAGGTGTTCTTTCCTTTCTAAATATTACCACCTGTCATATGGTCTCTTTCTATATCAATCATGAAATTCAACACACCTATTTCACACAGCACCTACTATCCTAAATAAATACTATGAATATAAAGACAAACAAAGCACAGGACTTATCCTTCATTAATGAATTTTTCAATTTATTTAATGCATTAAAACTTAGATTATAATGTCCTCTGCAGAGCCCAGATGTAAATTTCATTTTCATCTATAGCTAATGGTGGTCACAAGCTCAGTGTAAATTTTTGTTTATGCCTTTCTTTATAATTTTTATAAAGCCCACTGCATATAAATAAGCACACTGATATCTTAGAATAAAAGAAAACTAACAGAAAAAGGCCCAAGAGGTCTATATTTGTTTTTGCATTTGTTCTCAAAAACTAGATACCATTCTTTATCATTCTGTATTTTGCTTTTTCGTTAATCTCAGATACTCACTTGAACTGTTTCATGGATAAAGTAGCAGAACTGGACCTAAAGATTTATGCCTATGGATGAATCTCAAATTCAGTGATTCACTCATTTTGAAATGCTGAATACTTACTAAGTGTGTTAGAAAATATGAAAGAAAGCTATCAAGTAGGAAATGAGAATCTAACTTAATAGTAAGCATTCTGCACTTGAATAAGCTGAGAGAAAGCTCAAATTCAGATACATTACAATTAAATTCTGCAGTCTACATATACCAGCAAGAAGATTAAAAGACTTTAAAATGACAAATTATTACTCATGGGTCCCAAGTTTTACTTTTGAAATGAGATACGTGCAGGTTTGCATTTCTGCACATTGCACAGGACAGACCGTGCGGATCAAGGCTCACCTGCGTTATGACGATGACTACAGCAATGCCAGTGGACGCAGGAGTAGAATCCCACTGGAGAGGTCTGCTCTGAGCCTTCTTCATTCTCACTATTGTCCAACCCATGCACAGACTCAGAAGCAGGTATAACATTTGGATTTGGGAAGCAATGTCAAAAACTAAATGGGAAACGAAAACCAAAGTCAACCAAGTTTTCCTAACACAAAGGACTTGGTCCTTTTTGTATTGAGAATATAAAGTAATTATCTTTTAAACACAAAGAGATAGGCATTCTCAAAGAGAAGTTAATAAAGTTTAATAATAAGAGATATTCATGTAGAACTCTAAAAATTAAAATTTTGCCTTTAAGTTTGTAAACATTTATGAATGGCAATATTCTCTCCTCTCTGTATACATCTCTATTAAGACCAACTTTAAATCTCTTTGTTTCCCATTTCTCTTATGTTTTCTAACTACATAATACTGTTTGTTCTCTATAACTTACTGCTTATTAAAACAGACACACTTTAAATGTAATTGCTCCAACGTGGGGGATACTAGTGTCTTCATTTCCAGGTTGTTAATTTCTTTTGATGGCTTAACTATATAATGTGAAATTATTTTCTCAAACTATCCATGAGAAATAGCACGGCAATAAAACGCACAGCTGCTGTAACATTCAGCAATGTTGAATCCGAAGACAAATGAAGGACCCGTGCGCTTGTGTTACGCGCCACCAGGCGGCCACCACGTACACTGCAGGGGAATGGCTCTACTTTAAACAAGTAGCAAGACCACCCACGTCCACTTCCAGCTTCAAGAAAACGACAATCTCTAAATACTCCAAGTTCCATGCATTTTTATTTTGGAAGCTGGTATTTATTGATTTTAAAAAAAGATGACCACTTTCTCAACATAGTATATTTCGATACAGACTTTGGAACAAACGTGATCAGAATTTAACAAGAGTGAAACTTTCTTCAAATTGCCAACCATACCTTTGATGTTTACAGCTTTTATTTCTTTTATATAAAGATATTCTTGTAGAAACAGATAAAACTAGCTATAGCATAATTTTTTTTTTACATTTATTTTTTGAGAGATAGAGTGAGACAGAGCATGAGCGGGGAGGGTTAGAGAGAGAAGGAGACACAGAATCTGAAGCAGGCTCCAGGCTCTGAGCTAGCTGTCAGCATAGAGCCCGATGCGGGGCTCGAACTCACTAACTGTGAGATCATGACCTGAGCCGAAGTCAGACGCTTAACCGACTGAATCACTCAGGTGCCCCCAAACTAGCTATGGTATAACCTATTAGCAACTTACGAGCTGAAAACCTATTAATAATACACCTTTTCAGATATATATTGACCATCTCCCCCTGCTCTGCCACCCAAATTAAAATTGGATCCTCTACAGTTATGCTCAAATATTTGTTAGTAAATTCTGATAATGAACTATCACCATGTTTGAACAGTACAAAATGCCACGGCCTTTCAGATCAAGCACAGTTTTCTTTCATCACAGATCTTAAGTGACAGGGATGCCAATTACTTTTATTAAACATCTCACAAATACATATTTAGTTACATAAGAAAAATAACTAATGATCAAAAATATCCCATTCTTTGTGATTTTATTAAAAATCTTGACATTTAATCATTTAACTAACCAAACTTGTCAGAACATCAAAATTTAGCATTGCTGATTTATTGTAGTTTAATTAAAAAAAAACAAACCAACCAACTTTTGCTATTAGACCCACAGGGAAGATGCCAGACAGTGGAAACCCGTGTTTGTATCCAGCAGACACTCACAGAAACACACCAGTCCTTCATCTTGGTAACAGCTTGTCCCTGATGGGCTCTTGTGTCCCTGTCTTTCTAAAATGCATGAGCTCAATTATTTCTAGGGTTCTGTTCAGCTTTAAAATTCTACGGTTCTGCTAAGCATCCTGGGTCGCCTAAGAGACAAGAGAGAGACCAGAGCTCACAGTAACGTTCAAAAAGAAGAAGCAACTCTTATTCGTGTCTGGGAGGCGACCAATACACACCCTCTTCACTAGGAAAACAAAGGTTCTAGAAAGCTCAGGATCTTAAGATAGGCAGCAAGATGAGGATGAATGGGGTCCTGAGATGATTACACAGATCACCATAAGCTCCCCTATTAAAGAGAGATGAGACCAGAATTGTGGAAATATTAAAAAAAAAAAAAATCCTAGAATGGTTTCATATTCAGAATCTGCTTTTTTAGAGCAATTGCGACTATTTTTCCAGGACTGAGAGTGGCATTATGGATTATGGGCACTTTTAAATATTTTTCCCATCATGCTTAATTGAAAAATTACTTCATAGAAGTTCCTCATATAAATAAAAGAACAAAGATGTGAGGTCAGGTCACTTACAGGTGTACTCCTTGCCTCTGGGTCAGAAATAGAAAAAGAGTCAAAAAAGATGAAAATAGAGTCAAAAAGGGATGACCACAAATATCAGCTCTGGGACCAGAAAACTTGGGTCTGAGTTTTGTCTTTACTGCTCAAAAGCTGCTGACATTTGGGAATGTACTTCCTGTCAATGAGCCCAGATTCTTTGTGTGCAAAACAGGGATAAATGTATCTACTTCAATGAGTTTTTACTGAGATAAAGTGAGAGTGTATATAAATATGCTCCAAAGACAATGAAGAAGGATACACATTACCAATGGTTAAAAAGAAGTTAAACAGGACACCTGGGAACTGAGTCTGTAACCCTGTTTTCAGCTGAGCTGAATTCTAACCAACCTTGGGTAGAAAAATTGTATTACGACAAAAGACAATTTACACAAAAGGAAAACAAACAAGAAGCAGACAGCAAGTTTATGTTTTAAAAAACGTATCTCAAAAAATACTCACATTCCGCCAAACTTCCCATAAAAGGTCTCCCTATTCCATCTTTGGAGTAACTGATGAATTGAAGAGAAGAGTGTTAGTGTAAATTACAAATGTGAAAAGATTATTCATAATCAAAGCAAGCATAATTCTCGCGAACTAATTAGGATTAATTAGACGTAACGATGAACACAGGTTTAGTGGCCTGAGTTACCTGGAGAAATGGATGTAATTAGCTAGAGCTGAAGCAGCTTGTAAGAGCAATGCCGTCGTCAGGACCTTTAAAATCATGTGCATGGGCCCTCCTTTCTTAATGGCCTGCCACAATGACTGAGCATAAATGCAAGCGATCACAAAGTACACGAGGACTAAGAGGAAGAAGAACTCATGCAACCCTGTGAAGAAAAGAAAGGAGTTTGCTTCAGTCAAACAAAGCCAGTTACAGTGCAGGGCTGCTTTCAAATCTTCCTGCCAATGTATTTCTAAAACTTGTTTCTTCATTGGAGTCATGGCATTCACTTTTTGTAAGGAAAAAAAAAAGGAAATAATTAAAACTTAAATAGTTTTTTTACTGTGGGATAAGGATTTAAATATAAGAAGGCAGACTAAACTAAAGCAGGTAGAGTCAACGTATAAAAAAGCACGGCGGCCAGGGATAAGCCCGAGGACTAAGCGTAAGATCAGTTTTGTTAGGAAACAGTAAAACCAAGGATTTGAGCGTTCAGCTAGACATACTTTTTACCCTCAAAGTGGATTACTTTTGTATGGAAGTCAGGAACAGGTTGTCAATGACACTTTAATATATCCTGACAATGGTTCTCAAAGTGTGACCCATGGGCCAGCAGCAGCAGGGAACCTGTTAGAAACGCACATTCTTGGGCTTCGTCCCAGATCTAGGGTGTCAGAAACTGTGGGAGACGGGACCAGCAAGCTGTTTAATAAGGCCATCAGGCGATTCTGAGCCAGAAACATAGCTCTGAAAGGTACCGTTACCTTACATTTTCTGTTGGATAAAGTCTCCAAATACCTGTTATGACCAGAGTCCCCTTCTGCAGTCAACTGTCCTCGGCTCTCGTCCAAGAGGAAACCCCATGGAGACCACGAGACTCCATCCTACAGCTGACTGAAACTGTAACACCTGACCAAACGGCCAGCAATCCAAAGACGAGCCACTGGCCACCAGGGCTGGTCTGCTTCTCCAAGGTAAGTTAGGCTCAGCATATTCCTCAGGTTATCAAACCACCAAACACGGGAAGAATTAGGCAACAGGAACTGGAGCTGGAAGGAGCTGATGTTGGGACAGACCAAAGCAGTCAAAGGAAGTCACCGTGAAAGAAATATTTTGAGTAAGCAGAAATTTCCAGTGAGCAAAGGGAGCTGCTTGGTAAAGACAAGAACCAAGTAAATGAGCAGACTTTGTATTAAAAACGGTGCCAGTCGTTAAGCAGGCTCTAGTTCCCAGCAACAGCTGGCCAGCACAGTCTTCCTGCGGGCCACAAGATAAACACCCCCTTTTCTGCATTACCTGGAATCTTCGAACTGTGTCATTTTTCAGAAATTTCGGAAGCATTTTATCATAAACTAGAGCGCTAGCTTGACTTACATTCACTTGGTTACAACTAAAGCCAGTCTGCAATATTATGATTTATATTACATTGTATCTACACAACACTGGAGCCCAGTAACTGTGGCTGTGAGCAGGGCTGATCATCTAAACCGCAATCACCTCCATCCGATCAAGAACGCCGAATCTGCTTCGGTTTGCCACCTGAGGTAAACTCCAATCCACAGGCAGAAAAGGGAGCGTTCATTTTGAAAAAGCAACCAGAAGATGCAAAGAGTAGGAAAAACAGTCAATAAACAGTTTGATCTCAATCATGTTTCTGGCATGGTTAGGAGGGGAAAAGAAAAAGAAAAGTGTTTCAGCCACTGGGTGTCTCTCCTGCTCTGCGTATATAAATGTCACTCGTTCACTTCTCTCCTCCAGGTGAGAAAGCATGTTTATCCTTTAGGAAGAGAAGATCAAATAACTGAAGAGCCATATTTTCTTTTTAAACTCCTTACACAGAAAAGTACTCCAGCTTTAGAAATAATGGGACGATAAGCCCAGGACTATTCTAGTAATGGAACAAGACAGAAAATACGCTACATACAGTCACTGTGGGCCAGTAAAAGTCTGTATGCCATTCTGCCTTTTGAATCTTAGTTTTTATTTTTCCTCCTTAGTATGAAGAATTATGGCACTCTTTTATTCATTTATAATGCTTTACAGAATATCCATTACAAGATAAAGTTTCAGACTCCATTAGGTTACAAATCCACCATGAAAAGAAACTCCTCAGACTATGTACTGAATAAACAGAATAATAATATAGGAGGAGGCTACTTTTGAAAATAAGACATATGTCAGTACCAAAAAAAAAGTTTTAGGATTATTCAAGATTAAATGTACCTTCCAGAAAAGCTAACATTATACCCAGTAAATTATTTCGTTCAGATAATATATTAAATAACTTGAACTAGCTCTGGTTCTGTGTCCTGTACTTTCTTCATTCAGTTTTCCATAAATTATTCTTACCTTGACCCTGTCCACAAGACAGTCTAAAGATAAAATGCTGACTCTGCACTCACTGTTCTTTCAAATAAGTTTGCTCTAGAAAAGAAAAGCTGGTTTTTTTCCTCTTCAGTGATCAACTTTTATTTTGCCGCCATCCTTCACAAGGAAGCAATCCGTATTTGTTCACTGTAAAATTAGGCTCCACTCCTCAGACAGGTAGGTACCAGGCACGCAACCTCACCTAGACACGGAAGGGGGAAAGTGCCGTCTAATGGTCACGGCGCGGGCGGCACACGCGCACGTTATGGGAAAACGGGTGGGTTTTAAGACCAGCTGACCGGCAGGAGGCCGGGCCGCATCAGCGGGGAGGAAACTTACAGGATGGCTGAAGACACTCGGCTCCGGCCGAAGGGTGGGAGGTGAGAGAAAGAGGGTAAGACCCGAGAGTCGCCAGCCACGGCTGCCACACTGGCCACCCCTGCCTGCCCGCTCCGCTTGGAGCCCCAAAGCCCCGGTGTCCACACCACCCGCAAGTGCTTCAAGATGGATCCGGACTCGTCTACACTGATGACAGAAATTCTAACACTGCTGACAGTAAGAGGGAAGCCTGACCCTTTACTCTGACCTATCAGTCTACCCTCTTTGACACCTTCACTTACGTTTCTCTTATGACGCTGTAGGGCTCAGGCATGAGACCCTGTCCTGCCCAGTGACATGCGATGAGGGAGCCTCTGAGAAAGGTGTCCTTGCTTTCAAAAGAAATACTGAATCTTGCCGTTATCTAGATGTGATGCCCACAAAGGGAACCGCGGTTAACTCTGAACACGAGGGGGGGCCGGGACACGAGGGGGGGTGGCACACGAGGGGCTGTCCTACGGACAACACGGACAGTCAGAAGATAAGAGGATGCAGAGACGCTGACCGTCCGTGAAGAAGCCTCAGAAGTTCTTGTCATGTAACGTAATTAATCTCCTTATTGTCTCTATCACTTGCATTCGAGTTTTCTGTTACTTTAAACCAAAAGCATTCTAACACGTAACCAGAGCTAACACTGGGATCTTGAAAAACGGTGAGATGGCAGATATAACAGAATAATATAATATTATTTCGATGAAAATCGGTCTACTTCAGATGATAATGCTTTAACTCTCAGGATTCCAAGTACTTCTGTTTGTCTCTAACGAGAGCACAAATATAGTGCTAACTTTTAACAAAAATCCTAATTCTTTAAAGAAGCAGTTTTACTTTATTCTACCTTAAAGCATAATATTCCTAGGTAGTATTCTGTCAAGTGGCATCATACTTGGCTTAATGGTTGTTTTCTTTTTTAATCTAGACCAATCTGTAAAAATATGAGCTTAACCAAAGTTTGATACACACAAAGCACATAATTTGTTTGAAAGAAAACAAATTACAAAATCTAACCGGAATATTGCACAGTGTTAATTGCAGCTATCTGCACCAGGCCATTCTAATGCAAACCTCTCACACATACAGCTTAGTAGTCAACTCTCAGTAAAAACCACAGCAAATCAATTTTCCCTACTCAGGAAAGAAAGCTGGACAAATGAGAAAAAGTTTCTAAAATGAACTAACTGGGGATTATTCCCTGGAAACAGATCCCATACCTGCGGCTTCCTACAGTGTAGGAAGCACCCGTCTCAGGACTATACGGTCAAACAATGCAATAGCAACACAATGTGGACTGTGGACTCTTAGGTTACTGCTTCTGCACATGACAGTCAACTTGAAGCTCTGACAAACTACGGCTGCCTGGCTTCCACTCCAAAAACCAATCTATCGGAGGGGCGGCTGGGTGGCTCAGTTGGTTGATTATCTGACTTCGCCTCAGGTCATGATCTCACGGTTTGTAGGTTCGAGCCCCGCATCGGGCTCTGTGCGGACAGCTAGTTCAGAGCCTGGAGCCTGTTTCAGATTCTGTATCTCCCTCTCATTCTGACACTCCCCTGCTCGCGCTGTCTGTCTCTCTCTCTCTCTCTCTCAGAAATAAATAAAACATTAAAAAAATTAAAAAAAAACAACAACAATCTATGGGAGTCTCAAACAATCTATGGGAGTCTCAGAGGGTGGACATGTATATACTTTCTCAAGCTCTCCGGATGCACAGTGATGGGTTTAGGACCGAGTTAGACTTTGATGTAAATTATCACATCTCATGGCAATGTAGAATTAATCATATTTTAAGGCTCTTAGGCATTTTAATCAATAAAATTATGTGATCCCTAGGAATTAAGCCAGCCATATAACAAATTTGAATACTTTTGAGTATTTTTGGCACTTGTTAATAATCAATCCCCACAGATTAGCCTTGCACCGAATCCCACGCTTAATGAGAATACATACTAGAGTGAGGTTGTGCCCTTTGTTTAAATGTAACTTTCTCCATTCTAGTAGAAGACAGATTTTAGACAGAAGTATACGTATCAATCAAAATCCGTCGTAGGAGAAGGTAGGTCAGAAGGAGTCAGGACTAACAGCTGAATCAGAATGGTCTGTATGAACCTAAAGGCTGAGCTGGCCATAATTCAGGATGCTGGGAAAACCACTGGAAGATGTAGGCAAGGTTCAGGGTGAGCCAGGGCACAGATGACTGACGTTCCGTGGCACAGGCCACAAATGTGCTCATTCTATGGCCTACAATGGCCTACAATCAATGTTCAGACGTCTAATTGGGAATGGGAGTCTGGGTAAGGAAGCAAAAAAAAAAAGCATATCAGGAATCTCGTAGAGTCTCGTGGACCCACACAATAACACAATAAATAAAACCACCTCCTGAGTTGAAGCCGTAGCGCTAGGAGGGCAGGAGGTGAAAGGGCTGTTGGACCTGGACTCCAGTACCGGCTTGGGGTTTGCACATCCAGGACAGTGGCACAGCATGGCTTCCCGCTGAGCTCTTACCAGTCCTAAATATTAGCGTCCGAGGAAATCGTAAAGGCTTATGGTTAAAAGGGTCCTTATAAGCAATTTAATCCAACTGTCTATCCAATGCTCTCAGTAGACCTGGGTTTCATCAATGCCTTTCCAAACTACAGAAAATAAATGTCAATAACTTTTATAAAGAAAAAAGAAACAGTAAGACGGTCTTAACTTCCAATAATGATCCATACTACTCCAAAGTACTATTAAGTAGACTTCAACCTTTAAGTTCATCTGCACTCAAAAACAACTTGAGTGGCTTACCCTTACATCATTTCCTTCACAGAAAGAACTTTTAACAATTAAAGTGTTTGGCATTCTGTCACTATGTAAACACTTTTTTCAGACTAACAGATTTATTTTAAAAAATTCATCTCTTCACACGTTGAGTTACTGGTAACCTACTGCCCATAACGCATGCTCCTCAAGTTACATTTCTAGCTGTGACAATTCACACTGGGAACAGAACAATCGGTTTAATCTAATGGAGCCTCAATTCCTGTTCTTCCTGCACTCACTACCCTGATGATCAATAAGATTTAATGGGCTTGAAATTCTTCTCTAAGCAGACTGATTCTTCCAAATGGGTAATGAACTCAATAAGAAGTAAACTCCTAATCCCTTTCTTTGATAGATGGCCTAGAGATCTCAGCCTTCATTCCGACGTGTTGATTTACAAAGCTGCTATAATACTTTATAGCAAGTCTATCATTAATCACAAGAAGTCGTTCATTTCTGTTTGGGCTAGGAATCTTACTTCCATAGGGCAATACACAATCTAAAACTTTGATGACATATTTTATGGGAATAAATCTGATTTTGGAAAACATTATAAACTTTGATCAATCCTAAAAAGGTTGCAAGGTCCTGTGAAGATAATCCCTGATCTGTTTAAACCAGCTGGTAAAAGTAGGGCAGTTTCTATCTCACTTAAAAACTGGTTTTCCAATTTAGATTACTCGATCTATTAACATTTTTCTGTCTATAAACATAATGTTAGGTTATCATAAAAATAAAATAAGGTTTAGAATGTATAGAGAAGACTAAAAACCATCCATAATTCTACCACTGAAAATACAGAAACATTCTGTTAGTATTTCTGTACTTCTCCCTGCTTAATTCTGTGCAGTTTTTAACATACTTAAAATCATAAAATATAAATTTTAGTGTTCTGCTTTTTTAACTTAAGAGTATAGCTATTAAAATGCTAATAGAGGATTCATTTATCGTCTGTCTACTACAGGACACTTAAGTTGCTTTTAATTTTTAATATTCTAACAATATAACATGAAGACATTTGTACATAAACCTTTTTCTATATTTAGAACATATATGTAAGTATATATTCTTACCAGATTCTCCAGCACTAAAATGATCAAATGGATTCCCTTCGGCATCTGGGTTTAGTAACATCATTTCAAATGGGATATCTTCCGCCTGAGAATTCTCATTGTCATCTTGGCATGTATACTTGTCTGCATAAAACACGTGCCACGTTTGAGGATGTGGAATCTGGGACACTGTCAGATTATGTTCAGTCTGATTCATGGTCACTTCAAAAAGAAAGAAAGTAGCACTTTCAAAGCAAAGCTCTCAAATGAATTCATTATTTTAGTTACATAATCAATTTGCAGTTCTGTTTAGTTCTTACTACTTTGAAAATCAAAGCCTTGATGTAATACTGGAATAAGGTCTGTAAATCATACGGTAGATAGAAATCATGTATCTTAACCAAAGGAGTCACTGTGAAAGTACTGTGAAGCACCACAGATGAGCACAATGGTCTCAATGAAATTCTGAATTTGAATTTTAAATATTCTAAGGTTTTCAAGTGGATTAGTAACAATAAAATATTTTCTTTTTTATTGTGGTAAAACATGAGTAACACAAAAGTTACCATTTTACCCATTCTTAAGTGTACAGTTCTGCGGCAGTCAGTCCTTTCCCAATGCTGTGTAAGCACTGCAGCGACATTTTTGAAAATTATATCTGAGTTAAATTAAAAGTGGAGCATCCAACTCAGGGAATCACTGTATCTAAAAACTATGACCGACAAATACCTTCAGAAGATTTTCCAAAATCTTTTTCTCATTGATTATTCATTAAAAAGATACTCAAAGTGGAAAAATAGAAATTACGGGAATATAAGAGTTGTTACAGTGGGTCCGGTCTATACAGTGGGGAAATGGGGAGGTTCCTGAATGCTGGCACCACACAGATCTGTGTTTGAATCCTGGCTCCAATACTGACCTTTTATGTAAACTTGGGCAAGGTGTATAAGCAATGACACTTACTCTTTTCATCTGTAAAATGGAGATGATACTTCAAGCAAGGAGCAGAAGAAAGGACTGAGTTACAGGAATCATTAGGATGGTTACGCGTCATACAGTAGTTGCTAAATAAAGGTTACTTCTCCTTTCCCTTTCTCTAAAACAGGGAGTTATATTAATAAATGGCTCTCAATGCAGGGTAATCCTGGCCCCCTCCAGGGCATCTGAAAACGTGCAGGGACATTCTGTTGTCACAACAGTGGAGAAGGTTCCTGGAGGGAGGCTGTGCTAAACTGCATGAAGTGCAAGGCAACATTTCATACAATAAAGACCTGCTCCACCCCAAATGGCAATAGCACCCCTTCTGAGAAACACTTAGTGATGTCTAATATGCATTCCAGATCTGAAATGATGAGTCTAACTAAAGAGGCACTCACTATCACTAAGCTGTAGGAGAGTTAGGTCTCAGACACAGTGTAGAATAAAAACAGTAGTAGAGTTGGTGCTATTACTTAATAACCTCATGACTCAGTAAATAAATTGCTTAACCTCTCGAAATGTGCTTCTTCGGTAGTAACATTAAGGTACCTGACCGGTCTAGCTCAGAGCTCTTGGCAGGAGTGAATGAGACAGTATATCACTATATAAAAACCCTACCTAAAGAGTCTGATTCTGTACAATGTATTCTTAAAATGGAAGATTGTGATGGGCCCAATTCCCAACTCTAGGTTGCCCCCACAGCATGCCAGCTAGTTCTGATCTTTTTCCCAACTGAAGAAAAAATACTTTTTAATAAATAAAAGACACCTTGAGATAAACTTGGTGATCTGCATGTGGATAAGATTTTAGAGAGTATTATGAACTTATTCCTTTTCTTATGTGTCATAATGTAATTCTATGCAGAAGAATTTCCTTACTCTTATATAAGATACATGCTGAAATACAGGTGGGCAAACTGCTCATGATATCCACAGCTTATTTTGTTATGCCTTGATTAAAAACAAAAATCACACACACATGAATAAAAAGCAAATGTAACAAAACATTAACGATGATTGAATCTAAGCCAGAATATACAGATGTTAGTTGTACTACACTTTCAACTTACCTGTATGAGTGGAAATGTTCCTGATAAAATGTTTTAAAAAATGCTATTTATGGATGGTCTTTAAAATGAGATACAGATTTATCTAGTTAGGATTCAAATTTTGAGACTTAAGACTTTACAATTGGGAATTTCATTAGCCAGTTGCAGTGGACAAGCTGATTTTATTAATGAAGGCACTGAATTTTTTTTTTTTGAGGCTATTTTAAATTGGCTTACATTGATACTGCTGTTTTTTGGTTTATTTATTTATTTTTTTTCTGTATAGCTTCATCAAAAATGAGCAAAGACTCTAGTTTCTGATAAATATCTGAAAACCTTTAATAAGAATTCAATATATGATCAACACTGGCTCAGAAATTAGGCATGTGAAATGTGTAGCTCATAATTACATGATTTGGTCCTCAAAATATAATGGTTCTGCTACTTTGCAATTTCATCACGTGTGCTTTTTTCTAAATAAAACAAACATAAAATTAAAAATTGAATATTATATTTTTCATCATTATACTTTTTAATGTTTCATTTTCAACGATGCAGATTTACATCAAATAAAAACAAAAGTGTGCTTCAAAAAGTGATACTGGCCTTCAGCTTTTCGTCCTGTGGCTTTTTCTAGCAGGCCTGGGAAACAAGCCTCTTCACAAAACTATATCATTGTTTCTGAGACAAAAGACTGCTGCACAGCGTGCTGATGTAATTAGTACCTCAAATATTAACAAAACTTGAAATCGCAGACGATAATGTTAAATGGATAGTTGCCCAATCATGTTATTAAAGAAAATGAATACTGTTAACAAAAATACACAAAATAATAAAATGCTAACATCTTTAAATGACTTTATAAAACACATCAATTATACAAAGCGAAATATGCATATGATGTAAAAAGAATACTGAAAATGTTTTATATGCAAAATATTTAGCTCTTGTAACATGACAGCAAATTACCCCCAAATGCCTTGTTATAGATTTTTACATACAATCGTAATTTTCAGTGCTTTTAAATGTCTCTTTTCCTTGCTTTAAAAACCTACAAAATAGTTTTTATCATTTAAAAAACTTGATGTTTTATGACATTACTGAAAGAGGAAAAAGGAAGACTAAAAAATAATTTCTCAGACATTAAATTGGGGGTATATATGCTCATAAGCAATATCTGACACTACAGGTGTCTAGTCTTTTCATAGTTCACAGCAGCAGGGTTTTTCATAGGAGTTAGGAATAGTCAAGGAACTCATTACCAAGTAGGTGAAAGGCTAATTAATCTTCTAAGTCTCATTAATGGCCAGGAAATGTGAATATTTCTATAAGGAATTATTTGAAAATACGTGGTACTACTACACTGCCATGCATTTGAGAATATGCTTTTTGTTTCAATGCACCAAAGCCTCTAAATAATAACATACTATACATATGACCACTAATATGTAAAAGAGAATATAGATTTTCTTAAGACTTGGCTTTTGTTATTGGGAAAAAATTGATAAAATTTGTAAAAAGTGATATATGTCACCACATATATATATCACCATTTACATATATACATCACCAGAACTTAATTTATTTCAGTTCCTCAAATCTAACAAAACAATCATCATCCTTCACAAATTCTTACTACCTGAGATCTTCCATTCCAATAATACCCTTGCACTCGAAGAACAGAGAAGGAAAAATAGTCTAAGAAATACCTGCAAGAGGTTTTATATAAGTTATAGTCCTAGATAGATGCAACTCCACCTTGAAGAGGTATATTTAGAAATACATCAGGTTAGGATTTGGGGTAACCTTAGCAAAAACGAATCCAACTTTCCTGACGTACAGACAGGTAAAGTGAGGCTCAAAGAAAACAAGCCATGCTTCTCAGTTTATAGCAGTCTTTCCATTACACCGTACTGTCTCCCTGTATGCATAAGATCTGGGGCTGAAGGTATATGTCTGATATAACAATTATGTTTTTGCAAGTGTATACAAGGTATGGTATAATATTAATGAGGCAATATAAAACAACAAATCAATTCCGAGAACTCAAAGCTTTAAACGGCCTCATAAGGTTTTACTGGAGAAAGAAAAAGACTTTGAGGTACCAAATACAAAGCAATCAGCCTGCCAACCAGAAAAGCCCATCAAGATCCTCAACAAATGCTGTTGGGAAAAGTGGACAGCTCCATGCAAAGGAAGGAAACTGGACCACACTCTTACACCACACATATAAATAAAACTTAAAAATGGATTAAAGACCCAAATGTGAGACCTGAAACCATAAAAATTCTTGAGGAAACACAGGTAGTAATTTTTCTGACATTGGCTGTAGCATTCTTCTAGATATGTCTTCTGAGGCAAGGGAAATAAAAGCAAAAATAAACTATCAGGGCTACATCAAAAGTCTTCTGTACAGCAAAGGGAACAATCAACAACACAAAAAGACAATCTACTAAATAGGAGAAGATATCCACAAATGACATATCCGACGGAGGGTTAGTATCCAAAATATATAAAGAATTCACACAACGCAACACCAAAAAAACACAAATAATCCAATGTAAAAACAGGTAGAAGACACAAACAAATATTTCTCTAAGAAAGACATCCAGATGGCCAAGAGACACACGAAAAGATGCTCAACATCACTCATTATCAGGGGAATACAAATCAAAGCCATAGTAAGATATCATCTCACATTGTCTGAATGGCTTAAAAAAACAAACGTAAGAAATAACAAGTGTTGGCATGGATGTGGAGCAAATGAACCTTCATGCACTGTTGTTGGGAAAGCAAACTGGGGTAGTCACTGTATGCAGAATGGAGGTTCCTTAAAAAATTAAAAATAGAACTACCATATGACACAGTAATTACACTACTGGGTATTTAACTCATAGAATATGAAAACATTAATTTGAAAACACAGACATATTCCTAGGCTTACTGCAGCATTATTTACAACAGCCAAATTACGGAAGCAGCTCAGGTGTCCATTGAGAGATGAATGGATAAGGAAGATGTGGTATATACTTACAGTGGAATAATACTCAACCGTGACAAAAATGAAATCTTGCCTTTTGCAACAACATGGATGGATCTAGAGAGTTACTGCTAAGTGAAATAAGTCAGTCGGGAGAAAGACAAATACCATATGAAATTACTCATACGTGGAATTTAAGAAACAAAACAAACTAACAAAGAAAAAGAGACCAAAAAAAAAAAAAAAAGACTCTTATCTACAGAGAACAAACTGATAGTTACCAGAAGGGAGGTAGGTGGAGGGCCAGGTGAAATAGGTGAAGGTGATTTAGAGAACATTTATCACCATCAGTACTGAATAATGTATAGAATTATTGATTCACTATATTGCACACCTGAAACTAATATAACACTATATTAACTATACTGGAATTAAAATAAAAAACAAAAACAGGGGTGCCTGGGTGCCTTAGTCGATTAAGCATATGACCCTTGATACCAGCTCAGGTCATGATCTGTGTGAGATAAGCCCCATGTCAGCTCAGAGCTTGTTTGGGATTCTCTCTCTCCCTTTCTCTCTGTCCCTCTCTTTCTCATACACTCTCTCTCTCAAAATAAATAAATAAACTTTAAAACAAACAAAAACACCACATACAAAAAACCCTTTGAGCCCTAAACTCTATGATAACTCATCTTACAAATATTTAGTAAAAGCTACAGTGTTCTAAGTTTTCATTCTCATAGCGCCATGTAACTAGCATTGATGGTACTTACCACAATTCCAATTTCCTATTTATTCACGTTGATCAGATTCATTCCTGTCACCCCCACTAGCCTTAAAGACTCAGAGGGTGTATGTTGGTCCCTGATTTATCGTAAGTGCCGTGCCTAGTACACGAAGCATGGAAGTGCCCGGGGTATGCATGAGTGAATGGAAGAACTTTGCTTCTCTCACTGATTTTATAACAAATAAATAAAATGAAAAGTGGTAACTATAATATGCGCTGTGGAGGAAAACAAGCTATAAAAACTCAAATGTTAACTTACTGTAGAAAGGAGCCAAAGAGGGAAGGAAGAACAAGCAGAAGAAAAGCCTGTGCAAAGGCCCCGGGAAGCACTGAAATAGAACAAGCCCACAGGTAAAATGAGGCAGGAGGGAACAAGGCTGTGAGATGGAACTGGGGGGTAAACAGTGGCCAGACTATGGTGGCTTTGCTGATCAGGTTAAGGAGGCCTGTCTTTGTCCCAAGAGCAGCAGAAAAAGAAGTATTTATGAGTGTGGTGAAGAAGGGAATGTGACGTGATCAGATCTGCTGTTCAGAAAGATCCCTCTGGTTCCGGGGCCACCAGCATGGCACCAGGGGCCACGTGGGAGTCTTCTGCAATAGGCAAGAAATTATGGCAGCCTGGAATAACGTGGTAGAGGCAGAGATGAAGAAAAGTAGATGAATTCAAGAGATACTTAGAGGTCACTCGCTGATAGACTGGAAGCGGATGGAGAGATCGAAGACGGAATGTTAGAAGACTCCTTGGTTTCCAGCTTGCTTCCTGGATAGAGGGTGGTGCTGATTCCTGAAGCAGGGGGCACTGGAAGAGGGTGAGGTCTGGATGGGCAAGACGATGAACTGGTTTTGGACATTATGAGAAGCAGAAATGGAAGGCTAGAACTTTTTATACATATGTGGAACACTCAGGGGACCAAATTGAGCGTCTGTACAAATTTCCCAGCTTAGTTTTGAAATTCAAGGGAGAGGTAAGTAAGTTTAGGTAACTGTCTCTTTGCTATCTGCATCCAGTCATTTGAGACTTCTCCAAGCTACTGTTAACGTCATCTCGAAAATCTAGATAAGAGATCCCCACACGAGGTGGCAAGGACTGGGGCTTCTACTCTTGACCCTATTCCAGCTTACGAGGGACCTAAGAGAGCTGCCAAGACTAGGAAGGCTGCAAGTGTAGAAATGGCAACGTTTTACTTGACTAATTAAAGACAATTCAGAGACTCACGGATATGCAGAACACAGTGGGGGAAAAGGGAAAAGGAGAATTCTTATTTTTTCTCATGGATGCTTCCCATTCCTAAGGTCTTCTACAACCAATTAACTTCTGGTGGGTAACATGGGCAGCAGAGTATATGTCCTTCATTTCTACAGAAAGGAAAAAGAGTTGCACTAATTCTGGATTTCTGGATAATGCACCCTAATACATGGAATAGTGTTGATGAGAATGGAAGGGCTCAAGGGTACAGGCGACTACGATAAGAAAAGTGGAGCTTCTCTACAGGCAAGTGTGTAAGTTCACAAACGATGGGGCTGGATGTCCTAAGATGACATACTGTGTCACCATAGGACTAGGTCCCATGTTCCAATAACATGCTGCAAAACAGCATCACCTGGGCTGTTTTTTATACAATTAACTGAGATAATACATGCTTAGTGCTCAGCTCAGCGCTAGCAGATAATAAGCGTTCAACAAATGCTATCATTCATTCCATGCCGCCACTGGGTCAAAATACATTTGCCACAATGGTGTGAATTGTGTGACATGTAAGAAGTGCAAATGAAGAAAAGTATGCCTTTATAAATTATGTGGATATTTCTCAAAAAAACTTTAATGATAAAGGGAGGGAAAAGGCATTCTACCTCTTAATCAAGGAAAAAGTCAGTTTCCTGAATCGTCAGCTTAAAACGTACTATGCAAAATGTCATCACGGTGTGATGTATCACGAAACATCTTGGTATATAAACAACAGACTTCAACATTCAGGAGGCAAAAAACAGACCCAGTGATCCGAGGAAAAAGAATATACTCACTTGTCAATTGAGCTTTGGCCAATTTTTCACTACAGCTATAACCACGACTGCCTTCCTGGAGCTGTAGCCATTCCTGGGCTTGGAACAGGTAGAGTTTAGCTTCTTTTCCAACAGCTCCTGCTACGTTGTTGATTCGGACACACAGAAGAGCACGGTCACCTTGATGTTAAAACAAAAATCATCAACGAGTTTGGTCTTGAATGGAACTGAAATGACAAGACCATTCAACATCTCTATTGATCAAAATAGGAATTTAAAGAGCAGTTTTTCTTAACTCTCACTTAATTAGGGAGGTTCCATGAGAATGAAAAGCCCTTTCAGATGCAAGTCAAGAGACTATTTGTATTAATTATCCAAACTTAACGTGGCGCATGGTGGGTGCTAGGTATCTCCATCTACTTCCCAGGAAAACTGATGACGTTTCACTGAATGAAAAATGATAGCAACATCTCCTGTGTCTGGACATTTGCTGTCACAGAATTTCTGCCTCATTTTAGAAGCACTCCACAGGGCTTTAATCTTTGTTCAACCTACAGCAATTTCCCACCAAAGTTGCTCTTGTTTTCTAATGTAACATGTATGTTAATATTTAGTTATCCCTTTAGTGTAAAAAATAAGCAGAGCTAATAGTAAGAGAGTTTAAATAAATTAGTTTAGGGGTAGACATTTTAGACCAGATAAAAAATTTGACATTTGTGACTTTTACAAAAGAACTTTCAGAACAATAGATATTGTAAGACTCTACCGAAAAAGCCTGTTGCACATATCAACTACATGTAAGGCCCGAACAAAAATGGTAGAAAGTAGTTCTCTAGGTGAGGAGAAGTAAAAGCTGGAGACATTTTTCATTTTAAGATCTATTCTTTTGTTATTGTCATCACTTTTGTTATTATAATTATCACTCTGATTAAACATTTTAAAGAAGTTTAAATGTACAGTACTTATCAATGAATGTTCAAGTCTCCGACATAAATTGATCACTTACAAATGATCAAAAATTGTATTTTTTATATTTTTAAGTTTATTTATTTATTTTGAGAGAGGGAGAGAGAGAGAGAGTGCGAGCAGGGGAGGGCAGAGAAAGTAGGCCAAGAGACAGAGAGAATCCCAAGCAGACTCTGCACTGTCGGCACAGAGCCCAAAGAGAGGCTCGAACCCTCAAACTGTTGAGATCATGACCTGAGCCAACACCAAGCATCCGATGCTTAACCGACTGAGCCACCCAGGTGCCCCCAAATTATCAAAAATTTTCAAAGTGACTTGAAGGCTTACCGTCTTAAACTGCACGGAGTTAGAGTTTGTTATTTCAGTATAATTTAGTAATATTATTCTACTGCATTCAAATTCACTGAAAATTGGCAATAAATACAGAGTGTGTGTGTGAATATACCTGGAACACCCAATTCCTCAATCCTCCTTAAAACATCTGGATTTCCTACGTATGTTTGCCCTCTGTGCTTACCAACTAATCGTCATGAAATACCCAGGGTGTCTAAGTCCTCTGTGAGTCTTGAGTGAGAATCCAGGGCACAGCTTCCTTGCAGCCCAGCTTTCCCGCACTGCCCAGGCTGTGCCATTTATTGTAGCGTCTTTACTACCACTGTCAGTATTCAAAATACAGTTACAGCCAGTTGACTGAAAAACCAAAAAAGCGGGGAGTGCCTGGGTGGCTTAGTCGGTTAAGCGTCCGACTTTCGCTTAGGTCATGATCTCGCGGTTCGTGGGTTCGAGCCCCACGTCGGGCTCTGTGCTGACTGCCAGCTCAGAGCCTGGAGCCTGTTTCAGTCTGTGACTCCCTCTTTCTCTGACCCTCCCCTGCTCACGCGCTCTCTCTCTCCTAGAAATAAATAAAAACATTAAAAAAAAATTTTTAAAAAGATTGTTTTTTAAAAAAAACAAAAAATGGGACTTAAAAAATAATAACAATACTGTTTGTAGAGTTTGGAAAACTGGGTTGCTTTATCTCAGGTGCTTTAAACACTTTGAGTTTAAAAAAAAAAAAAATCAGGTTCCTCTTCCTTTACATCACCAATTCTGTACCTTCCCAATACTTTAACTTCCTTTCCTACACCCAAATACCTTCTTGTTCCTATTATCTTCTCCTCCAAGAACCCTCTCTGGGACAGGAGGCTGACACTGCACCTACTCATTCTAAAAGCTGTATTAATCAAGGATCTCAACCTCATCAAGGCACATCAATTGTTTGCCATATTTAAGTAGCAAGAGTAGGTACCAAGAAAATCACTTAAACTTCAAGAGTGCAAATAAAGCAGAAATTAGAATGAACTGCAGATTCATTCACTTAAGAGTCACTGATTTCTGACGGAGACCTGAAAGTAAGAAGCAAATGCACCTCTCATGTCCGAAGGGCCGGACGCTCCCAGGACACACTTACTTGCGTTTCTGTCAAGTTAATTCTAGGCCTCCTTCCTGGTCCAGACTAAATCTCCCCCTCCGGAGTAACTTAACTGTCCTAGCACCGTGACCACTGGATTAGCAGGTGTTTTACTTGGTGCCCCACACCTCTCTGCTTCCAGGAGGTTCTAACGAGTTGATCTTAAAAACACAAAAACTAAACCCGGTAAATCTAAGTTCTCCGGCTTCGATGAACGCGGTAAGGGCAGTGCCTTAGTGTCCACAATCAGGATGAGGCAGGGGTACGCAAACCCTGCTTCCTTGAGAGAAGGATCTCGAAAGATGAAGACTCGGTGCGGGGAGGGTTGGGGAACGGTGTTCCAAGTGCAGAACACTGTCCCTCCTGGGGGGGGGGTGCGGACGAGGGAGTGGGGCGCAGCAACGGCAGAGCCGGCGTGCGAGCATCCCACGACTCGGGCAGCTGCGGTCGGGGGAGGGCGGCGGCCACGCCGGCGGTCCGGGTGTGGGCTGGGGGAGGGCGGTCGCCCGCGTCACCGCCGCCGCCGCCGGCTCCAGGCCTCCCCGGGCGAGGCGGGGGGGCGCGGCCGCGGGGTGGGCCCACGCGCCTGCATCCCGCTCCCCGCCCCCGCACCTACCGTGGAACTCGAAGTGGCCGATGCTCTGGCCCTGAGCGTCTCGGGCCGCGGCGCTGCTGAAGCTGCCCCGCAGGGTCTTACCCTGGCCGCCCGGCGGCCACCAGCAGCAGGTGAGGGCCACCGCCAGCAGCCGCAGGCCTCCCATCCCCCTCCCGCTCGGGACCTACGCCCCGGCCCTAACAGCCAGCGGCCGCTGTCCCCACGTCGGCAGCCGGGGGTGGGGGCGGAGGGAGCAGGACCGGCGCCGAGGACCCGCCCCCCGCAGACTGACAGCCTATGCGGCGGGTCCCTCCACCACGAGCCAAGGCCACGCACCAATCAGAGGCTGAAGTGGGCGGGACGTGCGGAGGCGCGCGTCCCATCACTCCTCAGCCTGTTGGCTAGTTCCCGCCTTTTTATGGAGACTCAGAAGGATGTTGCTTCAGGTTACGGAAAAAGTATCTCCCTCCGTCTCGGTGCGCGGTGCCACTGCGCATGCGTGGTATGCCACCGCGGCTCCCGAAGGCCCACGGGGGAGTGGAGGGTGTGGAATTTGGAAAGAGCTGAGAAGCGCACGATGGCACCGTTTCCGGTGAAGAAAGGAGAGCCCTAGCAGAGTTCTAGATGCCTGTGCAACCTACTGGACGTTTCCACTTTAATGTGTCAAAGATACGTAACTGTGCATGTCCAAGTGTAACGCATGAATTCTCTAACGATTTTAACCTTCTGGGTTCCCTGTCTTCTTGAATTATATCATCAGACACCTGGGAAGTGTAGCTTACACCCCTACATCCAGTCATCTCAATGAAATACATGCCTATTTAGTGCCTCTTCTGGGTGGCGATGGTAGGAAGCAGCACCACTCTTCTATCCAGGCCATCATGGATACAGCATATTTGGCCTGTGGCAAGTGACCTGGCACCAGTCCTAATTTTCTCCAGTTGGCCTCACACAGCCCATCTCTACCCTAGAGCCACAGAAAGCTGTGGGAAACCCAATCTGACTGCATCACTTTCCTTCAAAAGCTTTTGATTGCCTGTAGTTCACAAGCCAAACTCTAGAATATAGCTTCCAAAGCTATCAAATTTCCATCTCTCAACTTTTTGTCTCCATCCTTACGGAGCCACTGTCAGTTCCCGGAACACTCCAAGTTGTCCTCTCTGAGTCCAGAGCCCTTGCAGATCCCTCTGGCTGGAAGGCTTTGCTTAGTCAACCACTCAACCTCTCGCCTTCCATTTTCTATTTTAACTCTTCTTTCCCAAGAAGGTTTTTTAAAAACCTTTCTTAAGCCTCCAAGTCTGTGTTAGATACTCTGGGAACCAGAATCCCTTACAGTCCTATGCTGTGTTGTCGATGTCTATAGATGTATCTGAATCCCCACTATGTTATAAGCTTCAACTGGTCAGAGACTGTATCTGTCCTGATGAGAGCAGAAGCTCAAAAATTTCATGAATGAATGTATGTAAATTATTTTCATTTCACAACATGCTTTCATTACATATAAGTAAGTTCTTATAACAGACCTCACTATTTAGAAAAAAAAAATATTGAGGAAGGGCTTCCTTTAGTATACCCAACATATTCTATATTGCTGGCCAACCAGGAATAAACTAAAGGTATTCATATGAGATTTTTTAAAATTGCTTTCTTTTTTGATTATAAAAATGATTCATGAAACTTAGGGAAAAATTCACAGCCAAAAGTGTATGAAGTAAACATGGAAGTCCTCATTTTTTCCTTTCCCTGCCTGACATGGTTACAAGGTAACCTCTATTGATAGTTAGGGTAGATCTTTTCAGACATGTAGTTACAAATGTACGTGGTATTTGCACACCAAGGACAGGAATAAAATTTGTCCTGAAAAAAAAAATCAGAACAAAGGCCATGAATGCTATGAGGCCTTTTCTGTCTCTTTCTTCTCTTTGTGATCAACTCTCTTTTTCTTTCATTGAAGACAGATTTTTTTTTTGATTCCTCACTTCATTTGAATGAATATGGCCACCAACAAGTCCCAAATTTATAGGTCCTCAAGAGTTCAAGAAGAGCACCTAGATTATACTAGAACCTTAGTCCAATTACAAATCCCAGGAAGAGGCTTCATTTGACCTAGGGTGAGTCAGATGCCTTGTCAGTGACCTGCCTGAGGTGGGGGAGGGGTCAATTTAGGGAGATTACAAAGGGGAGGGGAATCTAGTCAGATAAAACCCCAAGTATCCACTACAATATATTTTGGTCCTCATTCTATGTTGGTACATTCTTCTGAAAGTCTATATTTCAGCCCATGGTATTTAAAAAGGAAGGCAATACTATGATTAGATTGTTATCTAGTTTTCACTATTACATATAAGCAATATAGCAATGAATATATTCATGTTTATCTGTAGTTATCTATATTATACATCATGGAATCTGGGGATCATAGGGTTTGTCCATTTGAACTTTTCATATATGCTACCACTTTGCCCCTGAAAAAGATTGTAACAAATGGCATTCCTACATATACTGCATATTCTCATTCTTTTTAGACTTTGCCAACACATTATATGAAAGAAGAAAAAAACAACAGCCAAGATATCTATTCATCATTCAACAACATTAACTGATCATTTATTCTGTCCCAGGCCTTGTCCCATGGCCTCGGCATTATGGCAAGACACAAAACAGAGCCCCTGACCTCATGGAGCAGTATCAAGGAGAAGTTCAATGTAAACGTTGATGACTGCTGTGTAGAAAATGAAAGAAGGGTAAGGTGGTTCTGCAGGCCTTGGGTAGAGCTTGCTATCTTCATTGGGGTGGTCAAGGAAGGGCTCCCTACGAGGGTGACATTCAAGGGGAGAACTAAAAAAGTAAGGGTAAATACTAGGCACACATTTGGGGAGAGGCCCACAGGAAGCAGCAGGCTTGGCAAGTTCAAGGCAGAGCAAGAGGGCAGGCAGCCTGGGGCACTGGGAGAAAGAGGGAGAGTGTAAGGGCAGAACCTAGGAAGCATCTTTACCACGGACAACGGCCAGCAGCAACAAAGTAAAAGGCATTTTGCAATTCCAACCTCCTATTTCCACACTTTGCAACAAGAGAACCCCTGTTTTCAGCTCAACTGGTGGTGAACAGTCAGTGGGGATGGTTGCAGTACAAGAATGAAAAGAGGGTAATCATTCATGACTCCGACATCTGCGCATCTAAGTAAAGCCTGATCCATACTGGTGTCACTTGCCAGGAACCAGACCTCATCTTCTTAACGCTTAACCCCGTAGGTTGGGGCAGAGGAGAGCTGCGCCTGCGCAGTAGCGCTGTGCCGCCCGCTCCCGCGCCGGCCCCGCCCAGCCCGCAGTGGGCGGGGATAAGTCGGCCCAGCTCCGGAAGCCGCTGCCGCCTAGCCCACTGACGTGTCGGGGCGGCGAGACGCGTCGCGAAAAGTCGCGGTGGAACTTACCTGCGGTGTACAGATCTGGCGCTTTACGCTGCTAGGCTCTGCCGAGCTGGGAGATGTCGGCTGCGGGCAGGGCAGAGCCCTTGGGTCCTCCCGGCAGCTTTGCGAAGCGGCTCCTGGTGACCGGGGGTGCTGGTTTCATGTAGGTAACGGCGCCGCCGGCCGAGTAGTGGCTCCCCAGAAACCCCAACCTTTTCCTGCACCTCTACTTGCTCTTGGTAACTTGGGACCAGCTTAGGGGGTCTGAAATGGGAAGGGTCTTAACGCATGACTAGGATCAGCCTACCTTCTCCGCCCGCACCCCCCCATCCCGCCCCCGACCCCGCCTGAAAAGTCTTGGTTCCTTTGAAACTACGACTTTAAATGCCTCCCAACCAAAGCCAAAGTGCCCCGGTACTGTCTGCCTCTTACCTGGTCCTGGATGCACCTGTCACTCTTCTGAGGGCACCCACGTTGGAGTAAGCTTCTCCTCGACTGCCCCAACCTCCAGCCCACCCCCTCCGTACACAGCTCTTTGTACATACAGGCTCCAAGCAACCATTTTGGGATTATAGTTAAGACATTTCATTTATTTAACGGGCTTTATTTAACCAACACCCCTCTGTTAGTGCTTTGACCCGGACTAGATGTGTGAAGGCTCTTTACCTCTCACGCCGCATTCCATCAGCGAGCCCTCTTTCACTACTTCCAGAGCGAACACTTCTCATGCCCCGCCCCCCCCAGTCCACGTTACTGTCTTCTGCCTAGATTACTACTGTGGCTTCCCCGATTGGTCATACTGCTTCCACTCTTGTTCTCCTAAAGTCTGTTGTGCACCCAGAAGTCAGTGTTTATTAAGTAATTGAGTGCATAGAGTTTTCCCCGGGTGGTTCCCGTCAAGCTTAGAAGAAAATCCAAACTCTTTAACCTATCTAGAAGACTCAAGTGTCCACGCCCTACTTTTCCAAACCGATCTGTCGTTCTACCGCTTTGCTTTTCCGTGCCTGCCACACATAACTTTTTGGAGTTCTTGTAACACATGGGGCTCCTTCCTCCTGTCTCTAGGTCTTGGCACTTGCTTCCTCTTTGCTTAGGCTGCTTGCATCACTCGATTCCGAGGGCTACTTGGACATCACCTCCTCAGAAGGGTGTTACCTGGCCATCTTATCTAAAACAGCCCCTTTCCCAACTAACGCACCAATCAGTACATGAAATTATGTTGTGTGTTAGTGTTTACCTGGTTATTGCCTGTATCCCCACTCTAGAATGTAAGCTGGATCGGGACAGAGATTATTGTTTTCACCCGGTGTCTATAAGAATGCGTGTTTTACTTTATAAAGGTCTTCAGTAAGTGCTGAATGGATGAGTGCACACGGGCCAACGGGAACTCCCAGTGTCTAGTGGAAGAAGAGAAACATGGGAATCACCTTCCCCATTAGCACCTTAAATAACCTCTTCCAATCTGATAGTGATTTGGAGGAGGACACCAGGCAGGCAGGGGTTATTTAATAAGAGGAGCATAAAAGGGGGAACCGTGTGTGAGAGTGCTGGTCCCGGAAGGGCAAGTCCTAGAAAATGCCACGAAAGGGCCGTCCGGTACAAAGTCCAAGTTCATAATTTGGTCAAGGGCTGCCCTTGTTCCTGGGGGCCCAGTGTTTTAGTGTATACGAGAAAACCTGGTGGATCGTCTCACTGAGATGCCCCTGGTTCCACTTCAAGGTCCCCTGAAGCCCAGGAGCCACCATGGCTAACCAATTCTAGGTGACCTCAGCCATTGTTAGCCTTGGAAACATAGGTTTAATCTGAGACTTCTGGTTTACCCCACTAAATTCTAATTCTAAGAGATAGCAATTGCAGTAGGGTTGCTGAGAACATAGACAACTTTTATGCGCATGCGAACTTACTTTTCGCATAGCTATACCTACAGTCCGTTAAAAGGTACACTATAGTTTCAGTCTGTCTGTACTGACCACCACCCATTGTATTTATCATCCTGCTTCACTCCCACACGCAAAGCACAAATGTAAAAAATCATTTGGCTAAGCTATTTTTTGCCTTATACCCAGGACCAAAAATTCTCTTTTCTCCATGTTGCAAAGGGATATCTATATACTGATACTGACTATTGATGATACTGTTGAGAAAGTTAGTGGAAAGTGGAGGGGAGTGTGTATTCGGTATAGCTATGTTATTTATGTTGTTTTGCTGAAACTGAAAAGGTAGCTTTCAATAGTGTCCTAATACTCGACAGCTTAGGGTAATACTTAGGAAATGTTTAGAATTTAAATTTTCTACTAACAAAATACACTTTTTTCTTATAGTGCATCACATGTGATTGTCTCTTTAGTACAAGATTATCCCCACTATATGATCATAAATCTAGACAAGGTGAGTTTTATAAAAATGGGCTTCATGGACTGACACTTATGTACATTTTTTAAGTATTAAAATCTTATGATGCTGATATTTTAGTTTTTTATTTAGTCATTTAGCAACTTAGGGGGCCTACATAGTCATGTGATCATGCTGTATTTAATCTTAGTCTATTTAAACTTTTTCATTATGATAGCCCATAAACTAAAGCTCTTAAGTGCAGTATTTTTACCAAAAGAAAATCTTCAACCCTAAATTCAATATTTAGTGTAATCTTGTGATAATTAACCTTTTTTTGGAGTTGGGATACTCTGTTTATTTGATTTTATTATTATTTGATTTGATTTTCTAACTGCCACCACCTGGGAAATTACATATTTATTTCTTAAGTTAAAATTAACAGTTTTGAGGCTTTTTCATCAGTAATTGAAGTCTCCCTGGAGAGTCCGAAAGCCATGTTTGGTAATCACTGGAGTTTTTATTTTAAACACAAAATGCAAATAGCTACCTTAATGTCATAAAACATAATAGTAAAAATCTATAGACAGAGAATAATATGTGGACTTATCAATTTTTACCTACCTTACTATCATGTAGTAAGCAATTTTTTTCCCCGTCTCTACACTGACTTACTAATAGTTAACTCAGGAAACAGTGTAATGAGTTATATGTACAACACAGGTGTCATTGTTTTCAATTACTAATTCCTCTGCAAGAAGAAATGGTAAGCTTTTCTGGTGGCTGGAGGCAAATCTTGGCAGGAAAATGTTTTAAAGGAGGGGTTTCTAAAATAATTTTCTTGGATTTTGAAAAGGTAACAGAATTACACTTGTAAAAATACTTTTGTAATATATCAGAGACTTCTACAAACACAAAGAGCCAACACTATAAGAAGACATGTTCTTGTATTATAAGCAGAACATCTATAGTCTTTAAAATATATCGATATTTTATAGGAAAAGCTATGATCACTTTTTCTGTTGTTTCTCTTTCTCTCCCTCACTTACTTATTTTAAGCTGGATTACTGTGCAAGCCTGAAGAATCTTGAAACCATTTCTAACAAACAAAACTACAAATTTATACAGGTATGAACTTTTTTTGTAATCATGTAATTATTAACCGTTCCTCTTTAGCCATTCAGATATTCTGTCTTTCTGCTTTGCAAACTTATGTAATGTGGGCATGGAAAGCATGCTTATTAAAGACCTTTTATTTTCCGGAAATACCACATGCTACAGAGAATACTGCTTTGAGATTGATGCCGCATATAAAGCTGCATGTGGCATTTGGCAAGTGGGCAGATCTGTGGGTAGCTGACTGAACTTAAATGGTTTGCCATGTTTTAGGTCCTCAGCAGCCTTCTTATTAAGGCCTTGCTAGGATTTAAAGAGATTGGTGTAAAGGGGAATGTTATTCAGGCCAGGCAATAGTCAAAAAGCCCTCCGTGTAGCCCATGGGATAGTCTTCTCATATGAAGGTGGATTAAATGACTGTGGAAGGCTGATTCTTACTGGCCACCCTTAGAGGAGGCTAAAGTATAAACCAGAGAGCCAGGCCATTAATTTGCAAAAGGAAATTTTAATGTCAGATGAAATTATTTAACTCCTGATTTGTGTGTGTGTGTGTGTGTGTGTGTGTGTGTGTGTGTGTTTTAAAGATATTCTACAAATTCTTATTTTAATTTTTTATTAAAAAGGTTTTTTTTCAGAGTGCCAGGGTGGGTCAGTTGTTTAAGCATCTGAATGTGGCTCAGGTCATGATTTCGCTGTTCACAAGTTCGAGTCCTTCAACAGGCTCTGTGCTGACAGCTTGGGGCCTGGAGCTTGTTTCAGATTCTGTGTCTTCCTCTCTCTCTGTCCCTCCCCCACTCACACTCTGTCTCTCAAAAATAAATTTTTTAAAAAATTTAAAGAATTAAAAAATTTTTTTCATTTTTTTTTTTTTATTTGAGAGAGAGAGAGAGAGAGAGGAAGAATGTGTGAGCAGGGGAGAAGGGAAGTGGGGGGAGAGAGAGAGAATCCTAAGTAGTCTCCATGCTCAGTGTGGAGCCCAAGGCAGGGCTCAATCTCACAACCCTAGGATCATGACCTGGGCCAAAATCAAAAGTTGGATGCTCAACCAACTGAGCCATTGAAGCACTCCCACGAAGTCTCTTTTTAACCACAAATCATAAAGAATATACTGTGCAAACATTTTATAATTCTATTCTTCTATATGAAAGTATTTCAGTCATCAAAGAATTGTTGACAGTACATATTTTTAGAAGACTTAAATGTACATACAACATCAAAAGTACTCATAATGAGGCACCTGGGTCGCTCGCAGTTGGTTAAGTGTTTGACTCTGGGTTTCAGCTCAGGTCATGATCTCAGTTTTGTGAGTTTGAGCCCTGGGTCCAGAACTTCGCTGACAGTGCAGAGCCTGGCAAGTGCTTGAGATTCTCTGTCTCCCTCTCTCTCTGCTCCTCCCCCACTCACTCTGTCTCTGTCTCTCTCAAAATAAATAAACTTTTAAAAAAAGTATTCACAAGTTCACTGAATTGTGGTGAAATACATTTTTCAAAATGTCATCTTGTTGTTAAACTTACTTTAAACATATTTCAATAATGGTTACCTCAAACTTTAAAAAATATGTTTAAAAAAATTTTTTTTTAACATTTATTCATTTTTGAGGGAGAGATAGACTGTGATTGGGGAAGGGTCAGAGAGAGAAGGAGACACAGAATTGGAAGCAGGCTGCAGGCTCTGAGCTGTCAGCACAGAGCCTGACGCGGGGCTTGAACCCACAAGTGGTAAGATCATGACCTGATCCAAAGTTGGACACTTAAACCGACTGAGCCACCTAAGCCCCCCTAAAAAAAATATGTTTAAAAAATTTCCTGTTAACACAGTGACCTTAGGTTGGCAAGAATGTTACGGGAAAAAGCCAACACAGTTTTTAGTAGTAGTTGGTGCTCAATAAAATTTTGTTTCAGAAACTAATTTACAAGAAAGCATTTTAAACTGAATATCTTATATCCTAGGATGCTAGAGAAATACATCATTATTATACTTCCTTTAGCCCTTGGTTGAATTGTCCAGATATTCTCTATTCTCTCTATTCTCTATTTTCTTATCGTTGTTTTGGTTCATGTAGTAAAATGGTTATTACTAATGAGAGTGCTCAATGAAACTTAGTGTTTTCATGTTTGCTTTTTCATATAGGGTGACATATGTAATTCTCACTTTGTGAAACTGCTTTTTGAAACAGAGAAAATAGATATAGTGCTACATTTTGCTGCACAAACACACGTAGGTAAGCATTGTTTTATGCTACAATTATGATGGGCAAACAATTTCCCCAGTGACTAACTAGCCCAAATCGAAGTCCACTACTGAGGTTGAACAAGGAGGTACTTAATATGTCTTTGAAAGATCACATGCCATGCTCCCCCAGGAGAATAGGACAATTTTAATAATGCAGGTTGAAGTATAACCTTGAATGCTATCTTAAAACTTTGAGTTAACCAGATTCAGTATAGTGATTACTTCTGGGGAGATGGGCCTTCAACTGTATTTTTTGTGTTGTTTCTTAAAAGCTGGTAGACACACAGTCGAACATTATATTGTTATCCATACTGTTTTGTACATCTGAGATCTCTTCTGATTGTCTAACATTTCATATTGTGAAATATACCATATATTCAGAAGCATTTAGATGTAAAGTGACATGAATAATGATAATGTGAGTACCCATATAGCCATCACCTAAACAAAAGATAGAATGTTGCTGAATCCTCATTAGTAGTAGTAGTAGTAGTAGTAATATTGCTGCCTTATTACCTGATTTTAAAATTATCATTTCCCTTGGTTTTCTCTACAGTGTTTCTAGGAGATTTTTTCTATAACAGGATATAGAGATATTCCTCATTCCTTTTTATTTTCATATACTCCATTGTGTACATGTACCACAGTTGAGTTTATTTCCTACATCTTGCTATTTACACAGCACTGCAGTGGATGGCTTTGTGCCTGTGTTCTTTTGTGTGTTTGTTAATTGATGTTGGGTAGAGATTCCTAGAAGTAGGAATTGAGGGTAGATTAGTTTACTAGGGCCGCCATGACACAATACCACAATAACATCAGAACTCTATTCCTTACAGTTCTGTAGGCTGAAGTCCAAGGTTAAGGTGCCAGCAGGGCTCGTTTCTTCTCAGACTTCTCTCCTTGGCTTGCGGATGGCCACGTTCTCACTGTGTCCTCACATGGTTTTCCCTAGTGTTTCCTTTTGTGTCAAAATTTCTTCTTCTAAGGAGACCAGTCATGTTGGACTAGGGCTTACCTGAATGGCGTTATTTATATGTAATCACCTCTTTATTTATTAATTTTTTAAAAATGTTTTATTTATTTCTAAGAGAGAGAGAGACAGCATGAACAGGGGAGGGCCAGAGAGAGAGGGAGACACAGAATCCGAAGCAGGCTCCAGGCTCTGAGCTGGCTGTCAGCACAGAGCCCAACGCGGGGCTCGAACCCATGAATCGTGAGATCATGACCTGAGCAGAAGTCGGACGCTTAACCTACTGAGCCACCCAGGCGCTCCTGTAATCACCTCTTTAAAGGCCCTGTCTCCAAATATAGTCACACCCTAAGGTACTTGGGGTTAGGGTTCTAACATGAATTTTTGGGGAACACAGTTGAACCCAATGACCAGGGTTGAGGGGTAAAATCATATGTAGTTTGCCTAGACATTGGGAAGTTTCCTTCCTCAGGGGTTGAAAACACTTCGCATTCTTATTCCTAATGCATGAAGTAGCTTTCTCCCATAGCTTCACCAACAGAAGTTATTGTCAGATTTTTAAATTTTTGCCAATATGATAGGTAAGAAGTGGTATCTATCAGTTTTCATTTTGAAGTTTAATTATAATTGAGGGTGAGCATCTTAAGCTTAAGGACCTCTATTTCTCATCTAAACTACTTGTTCATGTCTCCTATCCATTTACAATAGAGTTATTCCTTTTGTTTTCTTATAACTTCTTTGTAGATTGAATATACTAGCCCTTTGTTTCTGAAAAGTTCAAGTATTTTCCCCTGTTTGTCATTTGTCTTTTTACTTTATAGATTTTTCTGGTTCTTTGTTTTTTTGTGTGTAAGAGCTTTTATGTGGTCAAATTTAGCAGTTGTTTTTCTTTTGTGTCGGGATTGTGAGCCATATTTAGTAAAGTTCCCTCATTCTCAGATTCTAGAGAATCTATTCTTCAAAGTAAATTTATTTAAAAAAATTTATCCAGCATTTATTGTTCTTTCAGCAATAACAGGTTGATCTGAAAAGCCTCGCCCTCTGTTAGTAGAAACCAGAAGTTTCAAGTTTCAAATTTAAGAACAATTTTAAATTTAGACGTATCTTTTTTTTCTTCTTAGAATAAAAGTGTTTCCTGGGGCGCCTGGGTGGCTCAATTGGTTAAGCTTTCTGCTTGATTTCAGCTCATCTCATGATCTCACGGTTCGTGAGATCTACCCCACATCAGACTCTGTGCTGACAGTGCTGATCTGCTTAAGATTCTCTCTCCCCCTCTCTCTGTTTCTCCACTACACTCTCACGCGAGTTTGCACGCACACCCTCTCTCTCTCGATCTCTCAGAATAAATAAACTTAAAAAAAATAGAAAAAAATAGTGTTTCCTCCAAATATAGCACTGATAGTTTTATAGGTTCTAGAAATTATGGACTTCATAATTTAGGCTTAAAGCAATCATACATAGCAATGTGTTTTTATGTTATGTTTTTAAACTATTGGAGTTGTAGTGAACAAAGAGAAGTGAATAGAGCTTTACTTAAACCTGAGTCTGCTGTTTGGTGTTTGTTTTGTCCCTTGGCGGAATTGTTCTAGCTTTTTCTGTCTCTTTTTTTAGATCTTTCATTTGTACGTGCCTTTGAGTTTACATATGTTAATGTGTATGGCACTCATGTTTTGGTGAGTGCTGCTCATGAAGCTGGAGTGGAGAAATTTATTTACGTGAGCACAGACGAGGTGTACGGAGGCGGTGTTGACAAGGTAAGCTTACAAAAGTGTTATGTTCCACCTGCTTACCGCGGACCATGAAACAAGTGTGTCATTAAAACTTACCCTGGGGCGCCCGGCTGGCTCAGTCTGTGGAGTGTGCAACTCTTGATTTTTGGGTCATGAGTTTGAGCCCCATGTTGATTGTAGAAATTACTTAAAAATTAAATTAAATTACACTACATTAAAATAAAAAAATAATAAAACCTACTCTGGGCTTTTTTCATCCTCCCACTAGGCACACATATAGGACTCTCCAAACTATTCTTTCTTTGTGTCCTCTCTTCAAAGTAAATAATACCAGCCCAAATGGCAACAACCATCTAGTCTCCATACAGATTTATATGCAATTTGACTGACAGGTTTTTTTTTTGCAAGGGAGCAGCACATCCCACCTTTCTGTTCCAGTCCAGACATGATGAATGTCATTCCCATGAGCCAAGCGGAGCATACCGCCGGCCCCCCTTCTCTTCCACCCAGGAAAGCGTATCAGAACGTCAAGAAGTGCATGTGAAATTATTGTAGCAGCTCGAATCTGTTCTCCTTTTTAAATCATGGGGCCCTTGAGTGGCTCAGTCGGTTAAGTGTCCGACTTTGACTCAGATCGTGATCTCACAGTTTGTGAATTTGAGCCCCATGCTCTTTGCTGACAGCTCAGAGCCTGGAGCCTGCTTTGGATTCTGTGTCTCCCTCTCTCTCTGTCTCTCGCACTCTGTCTCTCTCTCTCAAAAATAAACGTTAAAAACAATTTAAGTCATTTGTGCACATTATGCTTCTTATGCAAAAGATGGCTCCATTCTCATCTATATTTTTCGTAGTCAGTATTTGCAGTGACCTCATTCTGTTTTACATTTTTACAAAAAACAGTTTTTATGAAACAGTTTTTATGTTTTTACAAAAACAGCAGTTTGAAAAAAACTTACAATAAAAAAGCAGACCCTGACCACTTCTCTTCAATATCCAGTCCCACCTGTGAGAAGCAGTCATTTTCAATTCTCTTCTCTATCTTTGTGAAGGAAACTTTTTTTCTTCTTGGCCCCTGTCACCCTACATCAGATCTGACACAGGAGCCAGACAATTTTTAAAATATAAGTCAGGTGACTTTTGACTTTAAAAAAGAAGTCAAATTACTCCACTCAAAACCTGATCACATTGTTACAGTGGCCTTCAGAGTTCCAGACATTCTGGCTTCCCTCTAGCTCTCTGGCCTCAACTCCCATTTTTCCCTCATACTAACTTCCTTGTGGTTCCTTTGGACACACTTCTGTCTCAGGGCCTTTGCACTTGCTGTTCTCTCTGCCTGCCTCACAGGGTTGTTGTAAATGCTACTATATATAAAACGCTTAGGAAAAATGCCAGACACATAGTTGGGGTTTAGTAAATGCTTTTTAAAATGTAGTAATTAACATCTCAAGTTTGTGATATGTTTTCTGATTTTTCTACTTAGAAACTATGCATAATACATATTTATTAAATGCATCTTTTTAAAATTAGGAATTTGATGAATCTTCACCCAAACAACCTACAAACCCTTATGCATCATCTAAAGCAGCTGCCGAGTGTTTTGTACAGTCTTACTGGGAACGATACAAAGTAAGAACTGATTTCAGAAACTCTTGAATAATTTTTCTTTGGACTTAGGTATTAGAACTCCAAGTTAGCAGTAGCAATGTTCCATTTTTAGAGTTGAAGACATAGATTGAGGAGTTTATGTATTAAGGAGTTTAAAATACTTATTTCCTATATTGTGTCGACAAAGTAGGACCTACTTCTTGTTCAGTTCATCGTTTAAAGGAATAATTTGTGGGAGGCTCAGACAGTTAAACATCCAGCTCTTGGTTTCAGCTCAGTTCATAATCTCACAAACATGGGATTGAGCCCTGCGTTCAGCTCCATGCTGAGCGTGGAGCCTGCTTGGGATTCTCTCTCCTCTCTCTCTCTCTCCCCCTGCCCCTCTCCTGCACATACTCTCTCTCTCTAAAATAAATAAAAATTCAAAAAATAAGAAATCAGTAATTTGTATATCTTTTTTCCTACTTTAGTGATACATAGAGAATTAGAGTTATAGGAAACCCTCTTGGAATATCCCAATTCCCAGAATCCTCTGGGTGAAAGAAGACAGAGGGCAGATTCCATGACCCACTGCATGCTCCTCTGTGTGACTCATCTCTCTTGGCTCCTCGTGAATGGGAGCTGACATTCTCTTGCCTTTTGTGTTGCATAGCTCTGGCCCCTTTCCCTTTTGCGGTAGCTTCTTTTATTTGTAAGGGTTGGTGCCTCAGAGAAAAACAACTGGCAGTTGCACATCTAACCAAACCTAAGGTACTATAGTCTCTGAAATCATCAGGTAGACATTCCTTTAATTTTCTGCTGTCAAACCTAACAAACCTGGCCCCACCTATATTCAGCCCACCCTTGCCCAAGTAGACATTCCTCTTCTTCCTTTTGGAAACCTCTGCCTTTCTCTGAATCCCATCCTCTCCTGTCTTTTCATGACCTTTACATTAGAAAGCTAGCCCTTCACTTCTGTCCTTAAGGCGTGTGGGGTTACTTAGCTGCAGGTGCCCAAATTTTAGGACTGTTTGTCTTTAGATAATCATTACAGTTGGACCTCTGACTGCATTAATGTGGATAATCCTTTAAGTTTCCAGCTGTCATCACACGAAGCAGTAATGTTTACGGACCACATCAGTATCCAGAAAAGGTACATTTTATTTCTGAATCCACAGGTACTTTAGTGATCGTAGCTTCTCTTTATTTAAAACCATCTCTCTTCAGTTGTTTGTCCAGAATAATTTCTGCCGTAACTGTACATAATTGTAAATGCTGTGTAGGCCACATGCAAATCTCCTCAGGTTTAGAGTCTGGAGACCTGAGTTCAAGTCTCAACCTGACACCAGCTGGCGTGACCTTAGGCCCTTGGAGCGTGGTTTAACTTGGGGGATAAAGAAAATGCTCGGAAGGGACTTGGAAGGATCCAGGAAGATGATCCTGTGAAAATGCCTCGTACTTAGCAGGAATCGGAAGCACCGCAGAGCACTCCCATCGCTCCTGTCCCGGCTGCCAAAGACTCCTTCCTGGTTTGCAGGCTAGAAATTTCGGAGCTAGTCAGAGAGCAATGCAGGATGCTGGTACAGAAATCCGTCGTCCCGTCAGCTGGCTAATCGTTCCCCAGCGCCTCTTTATCATTGGCTGGTCTGAACGTCTGAACAAAGAAATGTAGTTAAGAGGCTGAAGACACCGGTGCCCTTGGTTCTGTATCATTAAGCCCAATTTTAAGTAACCATTACTTTCTCTGCCTACATTTGGAGCTAGGGTTTTCCACCTTCCAGCTGGTTGCATTGATCTCTTCTCCCAGAGAAAGGGGCCGGCCGTGTCATGATCTGCTGGTCTTAGTATCCACTTTGCTTAATTCGGGAAGTATCTTTCAGAGGGGCATTGTACATTTAATAATAGATCTTGCCCCGTTTAACATAAATTTTCTTTGAATTCAGTATCCCTGGGATTTGCTTTTTATTCATCTCACAAGCACTGAGTGAATAGGTGCTGTATGCAAAAGCAGTGAGTAAGATCAGACTCCCGCCCTTATGCAATCCTGGGTGAACCTTTTGTGATGATAGTGGACTGTTCGTGAAGATTTCTGAATTATTACACCACTTTTGTCTTTATGTTCGTCTAGCAGGTAACTTGTCTTTGTGCAATAGGAAGCTATCTTAGAGCTCTTTTCACTTGTCAAAATTATCATAGCTTTCTCCTTGAACTCGTAAGAGAAATTAGAATTTGTGCCTTTGTGTCTTTCTTAATAATCATCATCTTTTAATCATATGATGAATTAGATTCATATCAATCAGTGAATTTCCAATGTCTGAAGTGATATTTAAATATTCTTTTAGGTTATTCCAAAATTTATATCTTTACTACAACACAACAGGAAATGGTATGTGATTATTTCCCTTTGTGCCTGTATGTTTTTCTGGTACGTGGATAGTATTCAGTGACAGCCTGTCTTGAAAATCACAAAGTCTTAAGAGTTGAAGGCTGTAGAATTGAATGTGCCTACAAATTTACAAATTCCTTCTGCAATCAATGTAGCAGATTTTTAAATAATTACCATCTGTTATCCATCTTTATAATTTACTTACTAAGATCGTTGAGATCCATTTTTTTTAATAATTTCAATTCTTAAATAATGTATTCTAGAACTTTGAATTTTGACATTGAAATTTGACATCTATCTTTATATAATTTTACTTTTCCAAAGGATTTATTTCATTCACAGAGCTATAGAGATTTCTTCAAAACGAATTTAAGGTAGAAAATTGATGAATAACTTATTTCTCAGGGGTCATTTAGACGCTTGCCACTTCCGTGCTGAGCGCTGAAGGAGGTTTGGAGATCATTTACAAATTATGGATAAAATTTAGAAAAGTCTTGAGACTTTGTGTTTTCAGTAAAAGATTTCTAGGATCTCATGGGAATTGGCTGCTTTAGAATTGTACACAGTCATTGTGGCACCTGGGTTTGGGAGAGCTTACTTTTTTATACTTCGTGATTCCCTCTCATTTCACCTTTTTAGCTGCATTCATGGGTCTGGGCTTCAAACGAGAAATTTCCTTTATGCTACTGATGTAGTAGAAGCATTTCTCACCGTCCTCAAGAAGGGGAAACCAGGTGAAATTTATAACATTGGAACCAATTTTGAAATGTCAGTTCTCCAGCTCGCCAAAGAACTAATACAAATGGTATGTACATATTGAAAAAAGGTAGTGTTTTCAAAATTGTCACTAAATTAGTGGTAGAAATCACTAAGTTAGTTAGAATCAACAATTTACAGTTTACTCAGTTGGAAAGTAAACGTGTAAAAAAATGAAACATACATGAAGATATGTATGTCATTATTTGAAATGATAGCACCCATTTATAACAGCTTTTCAGGAAAATAAAAATCCTAATACATTAAATATAGATACTCATTATAACGAATACCTCAGTGTCAGAAACATAAACTTGTATGTGCTAGTCTTAAGAATCAGTGATGCATAAATAATTGTAGTTATGAGTGTAGGTATGCATTAGTGAACATCAATATAGATCTCAAGGATTCGGTGTATAGAAACTCTCTTCCTTTACACCACTCTCAGAATACTCTGGGCTCCAAACCTGTGGGCCTTCCACACCAAGCAGTTCTCAGACACAGGCTGGGCAGCCTATAATTTAACTCAATTCTGACATTATCTGCCTGGGAATAGCTTCAGATGCCACAGGTTAAGGGCTCAGTCCTACAAGACTATCCCCTGCCTCAGATGCCTGTCACAAAACCTGGTTGTCGCCTATGCTTCTGACGAACTGGCTGTAAGTCAGAGGTACTTTGCTGGAGTGACTCACAGAGTTCAGGAAAACAGTTTACTTTCTAGATGGCTGGCTTATCGCCCAAGTAACTCTGGAACAGCCAGATGGAGGAGCTGCCAGTGGCCAGGGAGGAGGAAGGATTGGGGATTGACCAGGCCCTCTCTGGCGCACCATCCTCGGGCACCTCCGTGTTTTCAGCCGCCCACGTGTTCTCCAAACCCCGTCCTTTTGGTTTTTTATGGAGGCTGATAAAGTGGGCACGAGTGGTTAAATCCTTGACCACTGGAGAGTAACTCAGTCTCAGGCGCTCTGAGCTTGTGGTTGGTTCCCTTGGCAACCAGCCCCTCCTTGGGGGCTTTCCAAAATTCACTCATTAACATAAACTCTGGTGTGCTTAGGGGCACCTGGGTGGCCCCACGTCGGGCTCTGTGCTGACTGCCAGCTCAGAGCCTGGAGCCTGTTTCAGAGTCTGTGACTCCCTCTCTCTCTGACCCTCCCCTGCTCACGCTGTCTCTCTCTCTCACCTAGAAATGAATAAAACATTAAAAAAAAAAAAAAAACAACTCTGGTGTGCTTAAAGGGGCTTGTTTTGAGCAGCAAAAGACACCTTTATCTCTCATCATGTAGGAAATTCCAAGGGTTTTAGGAGCAAGGGTAAAGACCAACATTTCTCACTATAAATCACAGTATCACACTCAGTAATAACCAAAGGTCAAAAAAATAAATTTTCTCCCATAGTTGACGCAATGTGTATTCTTTCTGAGCTTCAGATGGAATTTGGGTTATAAAATACGGAAAGTGTTACTAAAATGCTGTTCATCTTAGCTGTCTTCCCTACTTTGTTTTTGTTTTTTTTTTTAAAGTTTTATTTATTTCTAGGAGAGAGAGAGACAGCATGAGCAGGGGAGGGTCAGAGAGAGAGGGAGTCACAGACTGAAACAGGCTCCAGGCTCTGAGCTGGCAGTCAGCACAGAGCCCAACGCGGGGCTCGAACCCACGAACCGCGAGATCATGACCTAAGCCAAAGTCGGACGCTTAACCTACTAAGCCACCCAGGCGCCCCATGTCTTCCCTACTTTGAAGGGGTTGTTCTTCTAGTCTTTTGAATCAGCTATTTAATACTTTTGTTATTATCTGGTCTTATTTTGTAATTCAACTCAACGCCTTCCCCTTCTCCGTTTTCACAGATCAAAGAGACTAATTCAGAGTCTGAAATGGAAAACTGGGTGGATTATGTTAATGATAGGTGAGTAATAAGTTAAAACACTGGGAAAAAGTTGTGAAATCTTAGATACTTATAAAATTCTAAAATATGTTCACTTAATCAGGAACTACCATTATCTCTCTTGAGTTTTCTGCTATAAGAGCATAATAACACCAATAAGTTTTTGTGTATTTATTTATTCATTCATCAAACATTTAGGTATGAGGCTGCATTCAAACCCAGATCGTGGCTGAAATCAGAAAAGGATTAGCTATGGAGAGGGTTAAGCATCTGGGATTATAGATGATTTTTTTTTAAACATGTACTTTATTTTACAAATTTTCTATAATAAATTCCCAGAGGATTTTTTTAAGTAAAAATGTGAATTATGGTAAAGATTCATGGACACACATTATTTAAATTTGTAAGTATATATCCACAATGTCTTTAAACCTGTTTTGTTTTCCAAGACCTACCAATGACATGAGATATCCAATGAAGTCAGAAAAAATACATGGCTTAGGATGGAGACCCAAAGTGCCTTGGAAAGAAGGAATAAAGAAAACAAGTATGTTATGAATTGATCCTTTTAGGGGGGATTCAGAAAAATTGCAAGGAGAAGTAGTTTACTTTTGGAACACTCTAAATTCAGTAGAATGTTATGATGAATCCTTTCCACTTTTCAAATTGTTACATTTAGTATATTTCCAGCAATAGTAATCTGTTTCCTAAGCATCTGGAATTTCACAGACTGACTTCTGATGAGTCTTCCGGTATCTCATCAGTGTTTGTCAGAAATCCATTTCACGGGGTCTTAGGTGCTAATTTGTCACTTTTTTCATATCCTTTAAAGGTTTTAAAGTCATGAGAGTCTTATTATTGCATCTTTCTTTCTTTCTTGGTAATGTGTAAAATAATGGTCCATTTTAACCTCAGAGGCATGTTAGATTTGACGAGATGTGGACAGTTGAAGTCCTTGAGTGTCATAAGTCTTTTTACATTGAAACAAACAAAATTTAGTTGTGTGTAGAAATGTCCATTAAAAAAAGTGTACATAGAATCTGTGTGTGTGTGTGTGTGTGTGTGTGTGTGTGTGTGTGTAGATACACAGTTTGGTTTAAAAATGTATTCATGAGAAAAGGTAAATTCACATGTAGAAAAAAAGTCTTCATTCAGAGCTTGACGTACAGAATACTTGTATTGCGTTTTTAGACGCAAATTCCAAGTTAATTTATCATTTTTTAGCTAAAAAACTTTACTGATAGTATAGCAATATAAAATTATTTTACATATGAACAGAAGGAAAATCACAGCTTCTCATTATGTCTGTAATGCAGTATTGCTACATTTACTTGAACAAAAAAATTACTTGTACTGTAGCTTTAAAACTAGTGCAAATGACATAGCCTCCTTCTCCCTGAATTCCTTAAAGTCAGAATGTCTTAAACACTCATACCAGCACATTCGGTATTGAAGGACCTTTGAAGTTAAAAAAAGAAGATGACTGACTTCTAAACCTAAGGTTTGGGCACTGAAACATCTTGTGATTAATGGCATTGGTTGGCTCCATATCCATTCATTTTCTTCATGAGGCAACCCTTTTGCAAGACCGATTCTTAACTTAAATTAAGAACCTAAGTACAATTGGCTGAGCGGCTGATGGGCAAGATTTTTCTGACTTAGCTGGAACTCAGTACATGCTGGTTAACTAGTGGTTAGTGTTTTATTTTTTATTTTTGTCCTTTGTTTTTTTCCCTCTCAGTTGACTGGTACAGAGAGAATTTTCACAACTGGAAGAATGCAGAAAAGGCGTTAGAACCGTTTCCAGTACAAGCATCGTTTGTATAGTCAAGACAGTTTGCAGAGAAAGAAGAAAATTATCCTACCTCGACAAGCCATAGGAAACCAAGTGACCAAATGAAGTGTCCTCTTTGCTTTTGGAATTAAATTCATGACTTTCTGCATAAAATTCAAATGCAAAACGCCTCAATCTTTAGAATAGGTTTGGTGCTGCCATAGGATTTAAATATCAAGATTCTTTCTGGAAACCTTCCTCCTGAAAGTTAGACACCAGAAGGCCTAGAAAGACCTCTTCATAGGAGGGGGCCAGGAAGATGGAATCTCCTGGTTCTGAGAACAAGGACGGAGAATGGCTCTGCGCTGATAATAACCTTCGCGGGCCCCAAACCGAGTTGCCCAACCTTCCCGCCTGCCTATAAGTCTCTCAAGCTTCCATTTTTAGGCCACATAGGAGGCGCTGTCTGTCCTCGTTCATCTTTTTTATTAAAGGTCCAATGTGCTGTAATTGTTTTAAAAATGGAACAATGGAAGCATATCTAGCACTTTTTAACTTTAGATAATTTTGTAAAATTAAGTCAAACGTTTTTTAAAAGAAGGATGTAGTTTTTATATTTTCAAAATCAGTTGTTGGACTATATATAAGTAACCTCATCTAAGATATTTTATCATGTATTTGCCATTTAAAATGATTTTATTTATAAAAGTATCAATATTATAATGTATTTAATGTAGAATGTGGCTGTATTTTTAGTAAGGTATGTATTTTGCTGTAGAAAAAAATTTTTAATGTCTTGATTAAATACCTTTAATTCCTCTCTCTCCTAAAGACTTTAAGATGCCTTGAAAAAGCAGCTGGCTGGTTATTGCATTGACAGAGGGAGAGGAGCCGAAGGTTGTTCCCAGCTTTCCGGCTTCCGTGCAAGAGTGATGACTTGTTTCCTCTGTGAAGTGGGAAGCAAGGCCACTCACTCGCAGGTGGTCCAGGGAGGGGGAGAAGAGTGGAGTAAGGGCCTCGAAGAGGTAGAGATCCGGAAAAGAGTAAGCAGATCCAAAGTTAGTAAGAGTATTTGCCAAGCAGGAGTGAAACACAAATCGAAGTTGAACATGGTAGTTTCAGAATTCTGAGATGTGGGGGGCATCAGGGTGGCTCAGTCAGTTAAGCATCAGACTCTTGATTTCAGCCAGGTCATGATCTCATGGTCTGTGAGTTCAAGCCCTGAGTTGGGCTCTGTGCTAAGTGTGGAGCCTGCTTGGGATTCTCTCTCTCCCTCTGTCTTTGCCCCTCCCACATTCATGGTCGCGCTCTCTCTCTCTCTCTCAAAATAAATAAATAAAACAAAAGAATTCTGAGATGTGCAAAGTGGATTGGATCCAGAGGTGGGCATAGTAGGAGTCAAGAGGGGCTGAGGGTGACAGTGACTAAAGTGAGGCCCACTAGTCCTGGTTGTGTAGGGAGGAAAATACTCCTCCAGGGTAGGCTGTAGCTAGAGGAAATGGAGAGGGGACAGGCATGAGGGTGTGGCGGTGAGAGGTCGGGGAGGCTGGAAAGGTAGAAGCAGAAAATGGGACCAACTGAGAGCAAATGGTCTTTGGTAGAGTTTGGTCATTGAAGGTCGATGACAAAAACATGTTTTTCTGTGTCATTTATTTTTGCTCGTATTTTTGTGTGTACTTTTATTTCCAACTTTAATATACTCCATATGGCTTAATCTTTATCATTTATTTAGTCTCAGGAGATGACCTGGACAGACATTAAGAACATATAATGAAAAACCAGTGGGAAAAAAAGTTTTATGCAAAAAGTGTAAAAAAAAAAAAAAATAGAATGTTCTGTGTCATATGTCATCAGGGACGTGCAGATTAGAACAAAAACCAGATGCCCGTGAGAATGACCAACATCTGCAACACTGACAGCGACAGATGCTGTCAAGGATGTGAAGCAACAGGAACTCATCCATTGCTGGTGGGAAGGCAACATGGAACAGCCACTTTGGAAGACAGTTTGGCCATTTTCTTACAAAACCAAGCATACCTTTACCATATGATCCAGCATTCACCCGCCTGGGTATTTGCCCAAAGGATTGGAAACTTATGTCCACACAAAAAGCTGCACACAGCTGTTTATATTAACTTTATTCACAGTTGGCCAAACTTGGGAGCAACCAAGATGGCCAGTAGCTGAACCGATAAACAAACTGGTGCATCCAAACTGCATGAGCCGTCCAGCCATAGAAAGGACATGGGGGAAGCTTACATGCGCGTTACCAAGTGCACGAAGCCAATCTGAAAGGAATGTGCAGGAGACAGAGGCGGAGCAAAATAACACCTGTAACGGCTTCTGTAAAGAGGAAGCAAGATTGGACAGGATGATGGTGCTGGCTCGGGCTCCGCGGGCAGAAAGGGCACATCCATATGGAAAAAGGATCTCTTGTGAGAATAAACCACTGGCCCTTTCAAAGGATGAAAAGGGCTCCAATGGATCTCAACTTGCCACCAAGTACCTGATGAGTTCCTTCAAGGCATCGGGCAGTCCCGGGGGCTCGGCCTTTGTCTGTTGTCAGCAGGACGGCTGTGCAGAAGTGGAAGCGGCTGGATTGGCCTTGGTAAGTGAGAATCCATGCTGGGGGCCCCAAGAGTAGGTTCAGTCTCTACAACTCTGGCGACTCCATTCAGACGCCTGCTGTGGCAGTTCTGGGGTAGTCGATGGCGAAGGCTAGCCCAAGTCAACCGACCGACTCATTTTGTCTACCAGATGGCCCAGTGACTCTTCCACGGTGGTTGCTTCCTGGTGGCCATTACCGTGTGATAAACACATCTTCACACTCCCCAGCCACCCCCATGTGGCCATTCCCATGCCTCCAAACCTGTCTTCTTACCTCCCCATCACCAGCCTTTTTCCTTCCAAGCCCCGGAAGTGGCTAATTCACCACTGCCTCTGAACTCATACATTTGTCAGCTCAGGTCACTTCTCTACGAAGTGAATAACCAGGTACACTGCTCTGCCCTTTGACAGATTTCCCCTTTGCACATTCTTTTAAAGCTACCCCAATGTGGCCTTAATGCAGCCACCACCCATGTTTGGTTTGTATGCACATAACAAGCCAACCCGTCTATAAACTAAGCTGGGGTTTTTTTTTCCTTCTGCTTTCAGTTGCTTGTACAGAACCCCCCACAAGGCCACAGGTGTGAGCTGAGACAGGTGTGACCCACCTGGCAGCATGGGACTCTAGCCTAACTGCTCTTGCAGCTCACTGTGGCCTCTGATCCCACTCAGGCTCAGTCCTGATGGGTCATTTTCATCTCACCATGGATTGCTGCAGGGCTTCTCGACTTTATGGCTAGTTGAGTGCGTTAGTTTCCTAGGCCTCCATAACAAGATACCACCGAGTGAGTGGCCAAAACAAGAGAAATTTATTTTCTCATAGTTCTAGAGTCTGGATGTCAGAGACCAAGTGGATGGCAGGCTTAGTTTCTTCTGGAGCCTCTCTCCGTGGTGTAGAGATAGCCACCTTCTCCCTGCCTTCCTGTGGTCATCTCTGTGCATGCTCATGTCTGTATCTAAATCTACTCTTCTTATTGGGACACTGCTCACATTGGTTCCCACTCCCTGCCCCCCCCCCCCGCAAGACTTCATTTTAATTTAATTCACTCTTCAAAAACCTTATTTTCAAATGTGGTCACATTCTAAGATATTGAAGGTTAGGACTTAAACATATGAATTTAGGGAGGGGGACTCTGTTCAGCCCACAATAGTGAATCCAGAAGAACCCAGCACATTATGGACAGTTCTGAAACATGGCCACTTGATGTCCTTTAGTCAAGCATTCTGTCTCTGCCAGGGCTCAGTAAACTGCCAGGAACCATTTTCTAAAACCATAAAATTCTCAGGGCTCCTGGATAGTTCAGTTGGTTGAGTGTCTGACTCTTGATATTGGCTTAAGTCATGATCTCATGGTTCATGGGATGGAACCCCGCATCAGGCTCTGTGCTGATAGTGCAAAGCCTGCTTAGAATTAGGATTCTCTTTCTCTCTCTGGCCCCCCTCTCCCCCAGCTCATGCTCTCATTCTCTCTCTCTCAAACACACACACACACACACACATTAAAAAAAAATCAAAATAAATAAAATCAAAATTCTCCACTGTAATTTCCCCCCCAGGTACCTGCATTGTGATACTCCCCCGGGGCTCACCATAACATCTGCTGCGCATCTTTCTCTGACTGACATCTCCCATACCACAGGGCCCACCAGAGCATACAGCCCAAGGGGCAGGGATACCCGTTCCCCGGCTTGGACCTGCTACCCAGGCCCGTTCCCTGCTTCTCTGTGTCACTCTATTGATGGGCCAAAGCATTATCTCTACGTGTGGAATGTGTTGCCTCCACAACCCAAAGAGGCTGCCAGCCCTGTGCTTCCTTTGTGGAAGGCGTGCAAGAGGCAGCAGTTTGATTTTCACCACTGGACTTCTAAGAGTTTACTGAAATGGCAAGTCCTGAATCTTCAGAGGGTTTATCTTCTACCCTCCAGGCTGCGCGTGAATTAGCAAAGCCCCCAGTGTGCTATCCACTCCTGCTAATTCTGCCTGATCTGCGCGATGCCATCAGGTTCATAGATGGATGTGACATTCGCAGGATGGTCAGAAGATCCAAGTCTCTCCGGAGAGCAGAACCAGTAACAGAGCCCCGAGGCAAAACCGTAAACACACCCGCCTTCTGACTTTCTGTTTTGATGAAGATTAAAAAAAACCATATTCACCAGATCAATGGCTGGATACCACGTTCCAGGGACCGTAGAAACTGTTCTAGCGAAGGAGATGCCACCTGGGCCCGGCAGCCGCCGTGAGAGCCACCACTTGACTGAGCTGGTGGTTGTCCACAGCCATTTTTCCAGAACCCACCTAGACTGGTGGATCCAGTAGAGAATTGATGGGACCCAGCCCGGCTCGACGGAGCTCCAGCGCAAACGCGGTATGTCGGAGAAGGTCGAACCGGATGGAAATGCAAGGTGCCCGTTGTGCTCAGTCATGGACTGGAGGCTGCTCAGGGAGAACTGAGGTGGGTCCTGAAGGCTCTACAGACATAGGCTGTCAGCTAACTGCACTCTTGGCAGTTTGAATGTCAAGCTCCATCTTGAAGGGAAATCTAAGTTGTCAGACTTCCAGAACCACTAACAGGCTGTTTGCCGTGGGCAGAGGGTCTTGGGGCTTATCTACGCCCGACACAGATTTTCACCCCAACTGCTTGCTCTTAGTCCAGGGCCTTACCCTCCCGCACTTCCCCTGGGCCCACTTTCCATAGCTGCTCGTGCCTTGGGGCCCTTTTGTGAGGTCAACCAGCGCAACCCAGATGTTCTGAGAGAATTTTTGCAGATGACATTTGAGTTATGATTTGTTTTAAAGGATGACCCACAGTCAGCAGAGGAAACTGAGGCTGAAGGACCAGACTGGCCAAAGCACCACGCTGTAAATGATACTGTCTGTGGAAGACAGGTCCTCAGTATTACTCTGGCACAGACATTCTCGTGTGTCTCCAGTCCATTAGGGAAATGCAAATAACAACTATACTGTGCTACCACTTCCTACCTGTCAGGATGGCTATTAGTTTAAAAGGCAAAAAACAATAAAAGTTGGTAAGGAAGTGCAGAAATTGGAATCCCTGGTGCCTCACGGGTGGGAATGTGAAATGGCTTTAATGGCTCAGAGTTTCTGTTTGGAAGGTGAAAAAGTTCGGAAAGTGCGCGATGGTCATGGCTACACAACACTGTGAATGCACCTAGTGCCACTGAATTGCATGCTTAAAAGTAGTCAAATGGTAAATGTTATCTTGTATATAATTTGCCACAATAATACTGTTTTAAATCTGTGCCTCCCAGACCAATAGCACCTTTAGTGCTTGCTAGAAATGCCAGCTCCTGGGCTCCACCTCAGACTTAGAGGATCAGAAACTCTGGCGAGGGCACCCCCATGTTTGAGGAGCACTGCTCTATTACATGGGAGGGGAAGTGAAGCTGGAGAGGAGCGTAGGGGCCAGGGCCAGGTCGCCAAAGGCTTCGTGTGCCCTGAAAAGTTCTTGGATCTCATCCTGCCAGCAGAGAGATACCTCAGGATTTCACGGAAGAAATTGACATTGTTAAATTTGTGGGATTAAACTATTTCCTGATTTCAAAAATAATACATTCTCATTGCAAAAAGCTTGGAAAACTAAATCAA